TAATCAAGCTTATATAGCTAAGAGAGCTACCCCTGAAGCACCACTATCTAACTGTACTAATATATTCACTAGGACAATGGGCCTTCCATGTGCTCACCGAATCGCTAGCTTATTATCAACACATCAGCCAATTCCATTAAGCGATATTCATCAATTCTGGCGAATCGATTATGATAATGAGGTATCAGAGTATCTGCCAATACTTGAGCCTATATTATCACTGCCACAAAGGAAACAAAACCAAGACAACAACACATCAGATCAAAGGGTTATCAAAAAGAAAGTGCCATCAAAGTGCTCGAATTGCGGAGAAATTGGCCATACAATTCGTTCATGCAGGGTATAATAGGCTATGTAAATAATATGAAATGGAATCAGTGAAAGAGAAGCTCTTATAGTAGTAGCAGTTGATAGAATGTAGTTGCTATAGTGGTAAGTAATGCAGTTGCTGCGGTAATGTATGGTAAAGATTCTTGGCAAAATTGATTATGTGATGCGGGTATTACATAATTGTTGTGCCAGTAGTAAAAAGCTGTTGTGTCCCTATCAATTCCCTAAGTAATGCAGTTGCTGCGGTAATGTATGGTAAAGATTCTTGGCAAAATTGATTATGTGATGCGGGTATTACATAATTGTTGTGCCAGTAGTAAAAAGCTGTTGTGTCCCTATCAATTCCCGTAGTTAGTTCCCGGCTTACCTAATAACCCGGTTAACCCGATAACCCCCTCCAAATTCGCGTCTTCCTACCAACACACCAACTTCAACCACCTACTATGCCACCAATCCGCTCTGAATCCTAGCTAAAATCGGCCAATCAGGAGGGCAAGATTCAATTAGCCCTCCAAGATATTAAAGAGGGTCGAATCAAATCTTTACACGCAGCGACGAAGCTATATAATATACCCTACGCTACCCTGCATACGCGCTCTTCCGGGGTAGCCCCACACGTCGATACACGATAGCATCGTCATAAATTAACCCAATTAGAAGAGGATTCGCTAGCTAAGTAGATTATATCTATAGATACGCGTAGTGCAGCCCCTAGGCCCTCTACCGTACGCGATATAGCCAATATTCTACTAGCTGCGCGTGGTGAGAGCCCACCGGCTACTATTAGCAAAAATTGGCCTTCGTTCAACAGCGCGATAAGCTTCTGTCAACATGTGGATGTGCAATACCCCGCACTAAGTGTGTTGATAAGCAATACACATCGGACAAATCGGATAAACACCCCAGTGCACGACTATAAGTAATACGGTCGGACCAATCATATCAACACCACAGAGCACGACTATACAATACGATGAAAAGATATCAACTATCACATCATAACGCAAAGAACAACAAGTTTCCTAACACTCTTGTATGCCCCTATGTTATTCTGAGATTTTTATCAGTCTTTTCCTGTGACATTCTGCTATGTACCTAAAGTTATAAATACTGCCTGTTTCCCTAGTTAAATTGAACAAGTTTGACACCATTTCCACTCACGAATAGAGCTCAAGGCAATTCTGATTAAACTGTGTTGACCTTCCACTGTTCAACCTGTTCGCTGCCGACCCACCTCTATTGCACTTTCGTCACTCTTCTATAATCGTAGTATTCGATCGACCTGTGTGCGCCTACAAGCACACCACACCAGGGTTTATGCATACGGCGTAAATCCGACACTTAAGTAGCTACGAGGTTAGTATCAAGATCGGTCGGGGTTAAACCCTAGTCGGTCGTAATTGGGATTTCTTCCGCGATGCAGGGAGGGTTCGGTGCCCCTTCGGTAGAGGGAGTAGAATAGGTCCTTGGTGCTATTTCTCCTAGGTGATCGAAGAAGAAGAAACAGAAATTGTAAGGATATACTCTATAAGTCAGGATAGAGGCCTGTCAATCAGGTAGGAGGAATAGAGCTAAGTCAATAGTGTAGAAAGGTCAAAGACTGTTTCTTGAGGATCGTAAAACCTCTTCAACATAGGTCAATTTATATACAGTCTCATCGCTCAAACAGGAAGGAGATGTATCCTTAGTAGGGAAATAGGAGCGGGGTGAAACACGAGGCTTGTGTAACCTCTGTCAAGGGTGTTCACTGCAGGAGTTCGTACACGTACTGATACCGAAAATCCAGCGAGCCTCCACAGAAAGCCTGCCGGCTTATCAGGCCCGGGAGGCCTGAGGCACCAACACTTGGGAATAACCTCATGCCAGGATATATCATAACAGCTATCCTAAGTCGCCCGTAGCTGTTGCGGCTTTGCGTTATTACGTCTGTTGTTACGCTTACGCGCCTATAGCTTTGCGTTGTTGCGTCTGCTATACTTACGCGCCCGATATCCTAGCTTCCTGTATTCGAAGTATAGGTTGTTGTTCTTGCGCCGTTTTTCTTCTTCGGCTAGGAGCCTTGCTACGTCGAGCTCTATTAGTCGTAGTCTGTAGGGGTCGCTGTACTCCCTAGCCTGTTGTCGCTACTATCCTTGCCTACCTTTATAGTAGCGGTATCAGTAAGGTATATTCCTGCTACTGTTCCCCTGTCGCTGCTCCCTTCGTTAGAGCCTCTATTTATAGAGTCGGTTGTCGAATTATACCGCAAGCTCGATTATCTTATAGAGTTCTTCTAGTCGGTCGACTTGTATAAGTTTATCTTTAACTTCCTCCTTAAGTCCGCGCTCGAAGAGCTAGATATAGGTGTCTTCGTCGAAATTAAGGTAGGAGATGATTTGCTAGAACTCGGCGGCGTGTACGCTAGCCGATCTAGTTTGTCTAAGTTAGTCGAGTCGTTATTCTGCAGTCCTAGAGGCATCGATATCACTAAAGGTCTGTTTAAGCTTCTTTTTGAATATTGTATAAGAAGCGAAGATAGCCTTAGTAGTATTGCCCTAGTCCTTCTGCGGTTTATCGTTAAACTCTCTAATATATAGTTCGAACTATTCAAAGGCTTGTCCGCGAAGATAGGTAGAGGTATAGATAACTTTGTTAGCCTCCTTACTATAGTTAATTAAGCGGAGTTGTATATCTATCTAAGTTAAGAAGGCGCGAAGTTTAGTTCGTTCGCTATAGTAGAACTCAGGTTTAGGTAGTTTAATAGTCTGTAGGGTTGTTCTTCTTTTATAAAGAAGTTACTCCTGTAGCTATTTAACTATTAATAACAGCTAAGTATTAGTTAGTGCTAGTGTTGCTGTTCTAGCTGATAGGTTGCTACTACTATCGTTAGGCGTTATAATGTCTTTGCTTCACGGTTTAAGACAGGGCGATTAATGTGTTACGCGTTGCCGACTGGTCACTGTGAGTTAGAAGGTCTACGGGTTATACTTACCTGATTCTAACTATAGATTCCGAGAGTATCTCGCAACCGTACCGATGCTATACAAAGCCTTACGTCAGGTTTAGGTCCTGTTGAGTATCTTGCAGAACGTGCTAGAAGTGCGCGCTAAGTAAGTTAATCACTAAGTGTTACTACTAAGTGAATCCCCTACTTGTAGGTTGGGTTGTCTTAAAGGTGAACTGTAAAGTGCAAAGTACTAAAGGTAGTAACTAAGTAACAATATGAGATTGATCGCGAGGAACTAAATATATAGTGCTAAATGAGTGTCCTTATATATTCAATCCTTCCGATCTAGGCTATGACAGATCATAGCCTTCGCTATGCTCGGGTCAGACCCTCGAGTATGATCCGATCATATAACGTGATACTTCCCTTATACCCTAGGATATGATAGGTCACGTGATCGTTGGGCTCCCCGATAACATAACTATTGTGCCTTGTAACGTTATCCAATCCCAATCCTTGCTGACTGATCCAAGTTGATTGGACATCAGTGTTTCCTTCCCCCGCATTAGCGCTGTTGCGTGAGAGTCTCGTAACATTTGGTCGCGGAGGAGAGGCAAAGCTTTCTTCATAAGATTCATATTAATATACTAAAGACAGATAATCGTGTGGGTATCCGGAAACACCTCATAGATAGCGTTAATCAAACCTTCCTCTTTATCAGTCAGGATTGTGCAAGGATACTAAAGCTTAAGCTCATCGTAGATATCTGCTAGATAGTCAAGGACGATCTTATAGGTGCCCTGCTATTCATTTTGTATAAAGGCAAATCCAAGGAAGGCAGAGGATCCAAGTGCAGTAAAGCCCACGATATCAAGGAGAGGAAGGCTATATTGATTAGTCTTGTACGTGCAATCTATAGAGATCACATAGGAGTGCCGCTTAAGCATCTCAATAGAGTTTCGATACATAGCAAAAAGGATAACAATACACTGATCCTTATCTAACTGGTATCTAGATCGGTGTTAGCTATGGCGTTTATCTCGATGGAGATAGCGTTTATCTCGATAGAGATAGCGTTTATCTCGATAGTGATAGCGTTTATCTCGATGGAGATAGCGTTTATCTCGATAGAGATAGCGTTTATCTCGATAGTGATAGCGTTTATCTCGATGGAGATAGCGTTTATCTCGATAGAGATAGCGTTTATCTCGATAGTGATAGCGTTTATCTCGATAGTGATAATAACGAGAACATACCTGAATAACCACTCTCCGTCTGTTAGGAGTTCTATTAGTAGGGCTTGAATAGGTATACGGCTAGCTAAGAACTCTGTATTTATCCTCACACAGGCGTTGTTAATGTCTTTTGCTATAAGATATAAGCTTTTATCCTCCGCTTTTAACAGCCTGAGGATCTGCCTAGTCGGTAGATTCTGCTTGAACCAGTTCCGGATCTGTTCTTGCTTTCGGGTTATCTTGAGCTTGCGATAGGCTACATAGGTAGTAGTAGGGGATAGCTTATAGTTATAGGTATCGTCAGTGATCGTGAGAATCCACATATTATTATCCTGTAGGCGAAGGGAGATATTAAATAGGTAATCGATCGCTAATATATAGGTCTTCCGCTTTTTAGATAGAGCTGGATTCGCTGCAGAAAGCTAGTCAGGCTGCTCTGATAGATCCTCCGGTGGAACGTAAACACCGCCGCGATCACACTAGAGCTGCACCTTTTTAAGCCTTAGCACTTAACCCTTTGTCTTCTTGCTTCTCCGTTTAACCACCGCGTAGCTATACTCCAAGCCAAGCTCGTTGATAGCCTTAACCCCTTCCTCTAGTGTATCATATCGCCGATCGAGGGGTAGAAGCGGTAGGGTAATACGGAGAGCTGCGGGATCCTCGGCGAATAGGAGGTCTTCGTTGACAGGATCTTCAGCGAATAAGTGCTGAACAGGTAGGTCGCTACGGGTAGCCGTACTAGGGTTCTCTTCAATGTCTAACGAGTAATACAGCTCCAGCCCAAGGCCTGCCATATTAGCCGATGAGGGAGAGGGTATAGAGAGGTTATATACGAGTAGAAGGTTGAAATAAAGAAGGTAATAGGGAAGAAGGTAATAGGGAAGAAGGTAATAGGGAAGAAGAAGATAGTGTGGAAGATTAGGCAGGCGGTGAAGGGGCTAAAGGCGGTGGGGGCGGAAGGAGAAAGCGGTCAGGAGGGTAGTGGAATTTATTACTATGTTTGCCTTAGGCATCCGATGATTAAGCCTTTTGAGCCTTACACTAAACCCGAATAGGAATTTCTGCCTGAAAAATCCGGCAGGGGGGGGGGTCCGAGGAGCGGGAGGGGGGTCCCGTTAGTCAGAGGGGGGGTCCCTGGAGTCTCGCCCTAAGAAAACTATGGTTGTTGAGATAATGCATGAGTAACGTAATTCACGGTCACCCTGGCCACCCCAAAACACCATACTAGATATCGAATATGCATTCCTCTATATCTCAACCACCAGGAATTCAATTCGGTCAAACTTCTAGCATATACATGTATAGAGGTAAAGGAAGAATATAACCGGATTTGAGGTCTTTCAGACTGGTATTTCCATGCTTTACCATAAAATACACCGTAATTTTCATGTTTCACATTCAAATACATATATCTTTCTCATCACTAGCAATTACCTTTTCCAAGTATACAAATAGTCTTTTTATACTCTCTAGTTTATGCATCCTTAATAATTAAACTTAAATATGCGTGGTTGTTGAGATATGAAGTTGTAATTTATCGCCTTTACTATGTGTTTTGGGGTGCGCAACTCGACCGTGTGAGCAGCTCGGGGGAATTGCTAGGGACACAACAGATTTTGCTACTGGCACAACAAATTATGTAATACCAACATGACATAATCAATTTCGCCAAGAATCGTTACCATACATTACCCCACCACTCATACTGCTGTACTTGCTACTTCAGCAACCACAAAGGGTCATTAACAAGAAGGCGCTATCAATCTGCTCAAATGATGAATAAATCAGTCAGATAATCCATCTGTGCGGGGTATAATGGGCAGTAAATAATATAAGAGGCATCAACTTGATTATAGAGGATAAGAATTGAAGCAAGAGAGCGAGTTCTTGTAGTGCAAAAATGTAGTTACTACAGCAGTAAGTTAATGTGGTTAGTGTGGTAATGTATGGTAATGATTCTTGGCGAAATTGATTATGTCATGTTGGTATTACATAATTTGTTGTGCCAGTAGCAAAATCTGTTGTGTCCCTAGCAATTCCCCCGAGCTGCTCACACGGTCGAGTTGCGCACCCCAAAACACATAGTAAAGGCGATAAATTACTCATGCATTATCTCAACAACCATAGTTTTTTTTATATGAGTATTATTATACAGGCATCCCTTAGCATGTGGAATAAAACATCTCAGTTTTAAGCAATTTGGATGATTAATTCGTTGCTTTACAATAAGATACGGCGTAATTTTGACAAAAAGAACAAGTATATATATCTCTATTAATACTTCAACAAAATATGCAGTACCTTCCTAATAGAATTACAGATTCTATCTTTATCATATACGTCTCATATATTAGCACAAAAAGATATTGTTGTTGAGAAATGAATGAGTAATTTATCGCCATTACTATATGTTTTGGGGTGCGCAACTCGACCGTGCGCGCAGCTCGGCCGTGGATTACGTTAGTTAAATTGCCAGATAACGTTAGGGCTTTATAGCAATTCAGACTTGTTGATATCCAATTGGTGCGCACCATGATTTACTAAGCAGTATTTCCGTCTTGATCTCGGATTAGATTATCTACCATCCGATCCGGACACGACCGAGTGTGGCGGCCAAAACCCAGGCATCCTGGTGGTTACACAGACACCCTCCAAGGTCTATCATTCATTCAAAGTTGACAGCGTCAAGAATATCTCCGAAAATTTCTGAGTAGTATATGGGAAACTTGTCAGGCAGCACCGATGAATGAATGAATTTATGAACCGCCCAAGTTGTTATCATTTCTCAGGCCTCATGCGCCATCAGGACTGCCTGAGACGATATATCTCCAAGGGCAGGACTACTACAAGAGCATTCTCCAATGTCAACCCTTTATCAACAAAACAACTCAAGATCCTAAGCTTTAAACCCTTCACAATGCTATCCACGTCCACTTGCACACCCGCTAGCACAAGCCGCTCTTCACCTTGCCGAAATTTAGTCCCTAACGCACGTGGTCTTCATAAGGCAGGTATCAAAACTGCATTTACATAAAGCTTGAGATAAATCTCCCAGGCCGAGCCTTGGGAATAAGTCTGTATATACATGTCATGAGAGGCAAGGTCTGTACTATAGCAACTCCTAAACTCCGGAATGCCAAGTTGCAACCTGCGTAGGACGACTGATCACGGCCCAGTCGACCTACCATCACGCCTTCTTGTCCTTGGGGCCGGATGAATGATGAAAGTAAAGATTACTCTCCTTTAAGACGGCTCAGAAATCACGCCACAACCTCTTCTTCGACACCATTGGAAGATGGTTGGGCAATTGAAACACGACGCTTGTCATTGCCACCTTTGATCCGGCGGAAGCCAAACATTTGGCCCACTTCCCTCCAGAAGCCAACGGGGGGATCCATAAAGCTAGCCTCGTAGGCATCAATAAGGGGGCGCTCCCAAACCAGATCAGCCTCATGGGCTTTCACAAACTTTGTCTTCTTGATGATCTTCCAGATGAGGAAAAGGGGAGGGATGACGATTTGCATCGTGTAATCGGACCAGAAAGTGGAGAGGTTCCATGGCTTGTACGAAGGATATCCGTACAAGATGGTAACCAAGATCATCCAGACGAATGCTGCATAGGCGCAGAATGGCTGCAGACGTCCGAAGTAGGAGAAAGATCTCCGATCAATGCCCTGCGCCTTGCATGCGCGATGGAAGAAGATGTAGGTAAGCGAGATAACAATATAGTTGATCAAGCCTAATCCAGGGTCAGCATTTCATTCGAATAAAGAAAGTGGGATGGAACTCTTACCTCCGGCTGTGACGAGGTTGGCAAACCAAGTAATGACGATGGAAGAACTGTTCGAGACTTGCAGGAAGGACAGAATCGGGAAGACCATGACAATTGCAAAGCAGTAGATGGGAACACCCTTCTTAGTGGTGTATGTGAGAATACGCGGGGCTCTTCCCTCAAGTGCAAGGCCGTACAGGGTACGAATAGCACAGTAGGTATAGGTGTTACCAGCCGAGAAGATTGAGGTCAGTAGGAGACTGCGAAAAGAAAATAGAGTCAGCTTTTGGTGAAAACCCAGTAATCGATTGTTGGCGACTCACGCGTTGACAATGGACGGGAAGATTGCGATTCCCATGTTTCGCATGCCGATGACATATGGCGAGGCAGCTGCAGAAGAGCCACTGGTCTCTCCCATGACGACCTTGGTCAATACTGGATCCCGGGCAGAGCAAACAATTCCCACAGCCAGAGCACCACCAATGAAGAAAATTCCGAATCGAATGTACACCGTCTTGAAGGCACTCTTGATGTAGATACGAGGGCGCTTGGCTTCCGCAGCGACCATGGAGATATACTCGGGTCCAACCACGGCAAAGCAAGCAGACCACAAAGATCCCAAGAAACCTTCAAAGCGACCAAGAGCACCCGTATCGAGATATTCCATGAATGCGCCAGGGTTGTTCCAGTAACGGAAACCGTAGGCGTCATGTTGCGGGTTTCCGCCCACCATGGTGATGAAGGTGAAGAAGAACAAGGAGAAGATCAAGATGACTTTGCCTCCGGAGAGCCAAAATTCAGCTTCACCGTAGGCTTTGACTGCCAGAATGTTGAGGAAACTGATAGGAAGAAATTAGCAGGGTCCATATGGAAAGCAGATCTACCCGTAAAGAACGGCCGGGGTGGATGGAATACAGAGATCACGATATGATGAAAGCATTCCTGGTCCATCTCGATGCCTCGGTGTGGTGATTATTGAGCGTGGGGTGGCGGGGTCTCTTACCCATAACACAAGATAATACCAGTACAGATTCCCGCAACGGGGCCAGGCTCAGTGATCTTTTCACTCCAGAAAGATAAAACCAAAGTAAACGCTGAGATCTCAAATGGAATCAAAAGAGCCTCGTAGAAGCTGAGCCATGTCGTTAGTTAAGTGCTCTATGCGGATCAATATCCCCAAGGAGAAGAAAAGAGTAAAAGACGGATAGCAAGGAGGAAGTAAGAACGAACAAGAAGTTCCAGCCGACCATGAAGCCGAGCGCATCATCAACCCATTTACCAGCCAAGCGGATAAAACCTCCACTGACGGGGAAAGCGGTGCTCATCTCGGCAATGCAGTTATTGATCATAGCTAAGAAAATACTTTGAATAGTAAAAGCCAGGAACAGACTGCCGGGACCACCGTTGTACAGACCTGTTCCAATACTGACAAACAAGGCTGTTCCGATCGAACCACCAATGGCAATCAATTGGATCTGACGGTTTCCAAGATGACGCTGGAGGTTGTCGGCATTGTCAGCCATCATACCCTCCTGGACATCATGGGGACCTTCCGTCTTCAGCCCTAGAGTGTCCAAGACTCCGGTAGTCGTCCCCTTGTCTTTATGGTTTGAAAAGGCCATGATTGCGTCAATAGGCGATTTGCCTAAAATTTCTACCAACTGATACGATTTTGGGCAGAGTGTGGGCGAAAATAATTGTCAGCTAGTATCAGTGACAATGTAGTGGAGGTTTGTAGTCGATATTCTCAGTTGGCTTTTTGTCGCATGGGTCTGGTTTGGGCAAGATGTCCGGGGTTTGCAGGGTTGGGATCAGCGCAAAAGGTTAGAAGAGGGGTCACAGTCGCAATGGCCCAGATTCAAAAGGATGTCCTGAGGGTATGAAGCAGTTTCGTTGCGGCAGGGGAGTTGTCGCTTTGGAGAATGGACGGGAAGTCGAAGGGTGGATAGGCTTCGAATATCTAGACCAAGTGTCGCATGTGATGTTGAGGGCGAATTGATGGTATCAAAGGGCACCTAACGTGAAGCAATCCTCGGGATTGTCGTTGGAGAAGTAACCCCGACAAGATAGAAGAAGAAACGTGGTAGAGATTCTGGAATGATGAGGCTGAACAAACAACCTGCACAAGGTTATCAGAAAGTCGGAGGTAAGAGGGAAAGGTCCAAAGCTGGATCGAAGCCCTATCTGTAGGATTTTTGCAGATTGACCAGGAAGGATGGAATAAGAAATCTCAACGCACGGTTTGGCCGGTGGGAGACAAGGGTAGAAAAGAGGCGCGATCCTGTCGAGACCAGTGGCGCTCGGAGGCTAACCTGAATGCTAAGAGGCTAAGAGAACTCCACAAAAGACCAAGAGTCCTGTAGACTAGGAAACTCAGAAGATACTGGAACAGGACTAGTGCAGAGAGCTAACCCAGAGGGGCGGCAAGTGACATTTCACGGTCCGTACGCCATTTCATTCTCCCAGGGGCGACGGCACAGCCAAGTGAGTAACATACGGTAAGAACATGGCCAGAAGCGGGGTAATTTTGCTGGAATTGGATAAATATCACCCAGATCCCAAGGCACCAGTTAAAGTGGAACAGGAGTAACTGTATTCCTTGTTGAGATAAACCAATCTTGCGTAGGTCTGAGCCACGTTTTTTTTCGTGATCTCGTCGTATGTGATTGGATGAGCGGCGTCGGATGGGCGACTTGGCCAAGAACGGCGAGGGATGGCAACTAGGCCGTCTTGGGACACGAGCGTCCTCGAGTCATGTTGCATCTTCGGGCGGTTTCTGCGGTTGGGACGCTTTGGACTCCTGAAATGGAGAGAGTGCCGTGGATTTGGAAGGGTTGAGTTACTTCAGTAACATAACCATCTCCCGCGAAACTTCCTAACAGACGTCAGGGGCGGAATGGGGCTGAACTAGGCGGGCAAATCACGCCGCGCCCGTACGCCTCTAACGTCCCAGTGCGTCCCTCAACCAGGAAATTGGAAATTATCCTCATAGCCTTTGGTCGTACAACGACGGTTACAGCTCCCCAATTTCCCAAATCTCCCAAAGGCCATCCCGCGACAAGGATTTAAGCGGGGCCCGGGGGCGCCGAGTGGCTGATACGACGGCCCGTGCCCAGGCTGGCCTTATGGGAAGAATCATCCTGCAAGCATGCAAGCCAAGCAGCAAGGGTTCCCAGAGAAGTCCTGCCGCGTGGAGATCTCGTTAGATAATAATGTGATTATGAGAATATTACCTGATATTCACAGGGCCGAGAGATAAGGCCAACCCGCAAATTGATTGTTAGGTAATGCCAAATGCGGCCCCGGTCGTAGATAGGCAACCCCATATCTCCATACTCGGTACGGAGTAGACGTAGCTCTATATCGAGCGACTCTTAAATCTCTGTACACGTAGTAGTGAGATACAGGAGGGCTTATTTGAGCCTGCAATCCAATCCCGTGCTCCTAATAGAATGGTGATACACAATATCTAATTCCAGTTTCCTAATTCGATATCCCCATAACCTGTTCCTTTCATAAGACAAGAAATTCGCCAGGTTTGGTCATAGTGGGCCCGGGTGGTCCAATGGGAAGATTCCCCCTTCGGGTTAACTCTAATCCGGGCAGCTTCAGTTGTCTCTTATGGGGGCGAACCGCGTTCGATTCGCGGCTCGGGCCTTTTCTTTTTCTCTTTTTTGACCCCATGTTTTTCCTAATCATGTCTTCTTGTCATATTTCAACGCTGGAGACTAAAGCAAGTAGCGGTTACTGGGGCTTTCAGGGTTTTATGGACGTAAACGCTATGTACAATACCAACAGCCAATCATAATGCACAAACTGGAGGGATTTGAATGTTCCTGACCATGGATGCACATGTGGACTTATTCAACAACCCGGTCAACGCGTAAATTTTCTATCATCGCAACCTTCTGATTTCCTTTCTTCCTTTTCATTCCACGTATATGGTTCATCTCCACTTCTACTACTCGCTATGGAGTCCGAGAGGCCGGGCAAAGAAATACCAACATGTAACGATATCACCTCAATCCAGTCCCTTTCTTCATGATATATCCCCGCTCCGCCAAAAATTCCTCCAGTTCTCGATCTCTTTTGCCAAATCAAGATGGCTACTTTCAGGGAGTAGACAGTAGACCAGGATCCCAATAACTGCTACTCCACCAGCCAGGTAAAACGTCGAACTATTTCCAGCCATCTCTTGCGGGGGAGTGAAACATTCCGTCCCGACCGCAGCACCAGTTCGGCCAAGGCGGTTGCAATACCATACCCCATGCCTCGCATTGCAGTGGGAAACACTTCTGAAGAGATGAGACCAATGGTCGCACCAGGTCCCATATGGCCGAACGCCCGGAGAAGACCATAGAGCACCACAAAGGCGGCAATATGCTCGGATAGCTTGGAGTACGTACCGCCAATGATGAATCTGAGAACCATGTACCCAGAAAAGCCCACAATGCCGGTGTTACGTCGGCCGATAGCGTTAGTGAGCCAGGCTCCAATCATCACACCCGGCACGGGAAGGACGGCCAGAATGACCTGCCAGATGGCAGTTTTCCCAATATCATTATCCTTCACAAGCGATGAAATGATAGTGCTAGACATGATGCTGTTTGGGAAGTTGACGAAATCGTATAGAAAGAAGGCTAGTGAAGTGGTGAAGATACGACACCAGTACCGACGCGCAAGAAGTAGGTAAAGCCGGAAGGGTCGTCGCTGGTTGGTGAAATTGGAATTATGGAATAGAGTCGAATCGGCCATGAACAATCGTAGGATAATGATGATTACTGGCAGAACAGTGGCGATACCGTAGATTGCATGGAAGGCAATGGTCAGGTTGTTGTTGGTAGCAATCAGGCAGATCAAATAGATAATCTGCATGATTGGACTCCCCAATGTGGCCATCAGTGTCGTAAAGGACACAAAAAGTGGCCCTCGATAAGCTCCCATGATCTACACATGTCAAATATTTTATTTCTGCTTAAGAGGGAATCGAGATACTCACCTCGTCAGATTCTTCAAGTCCAGCGGCTGCGCTGGGTGGGTATTCACCCCCAACACCAAAGCCAGCGATTCCACGGACGATGACAAAGTACCAAAGCATTTTTTCAGAGGGGTGAACTTGTAGAGCAAGTGTTGCCAACAGTGTAGTGATGGCTACAAGGCACGAGGTGAACAGTAAACCGGATCGCCGAGAAATCATGTCCGAGGTATACCCCAGGACCACAACACCAATAATGGCACCGATAATCAGGGAATTGCTGATCCGAGTCTTCATATCCGCAGAGTACCGACCAGACCCAAGAAGCTTCTTGAGGATGACATTTGTGGGGTTGGCAAGGCTGTTTTGGAAACCATCGCTAAAATTTGCGATATACTAGAGAGATCAATAAATTGAGAGAACGAAAGTTGGTTGGCTTCGAATACAAACATACACAACTCAAAATGGTCACATTACTCTGCCACTTTTTCGGACGATACGAATCCACAGGCCGGTCTTGCACATTCTTCTCAACCATTGCTGGGGATTTCTCGGTCCCAGCATGCTCTTCAAGATCATTGACTGTCTGGATTTGTGCCGCCATGGTCGTAATCAATATATAACCAAACTTCCACTTGGCAATGGTGTTGGCTGAGGGTTGAGAAATGTTGATTCAGGAAGAACGAGTTGCCCCTCCCGATCTCTCTGATTTTGATGTTTAGGCTAAGATTTTAGTTGTCCTCTCTATCTTGATAAGCAATAGTTGTGGGTAAAAGGTTTTACGGACCACCGCCGAATTACCCACAATGCCGGTCAAGGTGATCTGGTCCGCGGAGATAAACATCAGATAAGTAGCAGTATCCGTACATGCAGAGAATACATTAGTGCAAATAATGGATCTTTGATTTTCATAGCATTGATGTAGTGGCAGTTCTCTAGTTCATATCCGGTGTCGGACTTAAATCATGCTTCTTGGTTGATTGAGCCTGGCTTGCGGAGCTCGGATTTCCAAAAAAAAAAAAAAAAAAAAAAGGGGGATAGTAACTAGTGAAGTTAGTAAACTAGAATGTACTAATTTTGATATCATGCAACTAACATCCTGCTTGGCTGAAATCACTATTCGTCGACTTCTCAATCATACTTACAGCTCCCTTTACCCTCGGAAGAAACACATCTTCAGTCTTTATTCCACTTTATTTGATGATGAACGAGGAATTCCCCACTAAGGATATCTCAACTACAGAATAAATCTTTGTTGAGCTACATTCCCATTGAGAGACAGTACTAATTAACTTGGCCTAAGCTTGCCATCCGCGATCCTGTTTCCCAAACGGCTAACCGCAAACATTTCTTATGGGTTCGATACTCCGCTAGGATACACATAATCTACAGATATTTCTTGCTCTACATAATCGATTATGGGATGGATGGAACGATTCGCTTCATGATCGAAAAGAGTATAATATCCATCAACAGCTGTTGGTATCATTCACAGTACCACCCCAGATCTGGCCAAGCCAAGTCAATACATTTAGATGTTTCTCTTTATCTTCGTTGAAGATCCGATTTTACGAGACCGTCACTTTTGACGTAGGACAGATCCTTGGTGCCATTATAATGCTTACTCCCATTATACTTTTGTCTCAAAAAGCCCTGTTAGGATTCGCTTGGTCCCTAATACTGACGACATGCAGAACCAGGTATTCAGTGATATTAGTCTATGGGCCTTCTCGAGCCTGGAACCTGTCATAAGGATTTTTACGTTTTTATATTATTAATAACTATACAAGATGACTATCTTTCTTTCTAGCCGTTTTCCAGATGTGTTTCCAGATGATTTTCTTTGTCTATCAGAATCAGAAAATTATTATCATTTGCATATAGTATGGCGTATTTCTTCTCCACCTAGAGATGATATTGACGAGGGTTGTCAACCGTAATTCCCATTCGTTGCCACATGCCCTCTACATTCATGTCCTCTTGACCACTAAGCACTTTGTTAGTCTTTGAATGTCAAAATGTGGTTTCAAATAGGCATCTTACTCATTCTTCTCATTGATCGACGGCTCAGTTTGACCCTCTGCGGTGTTCGGGTTCCGGAAAATCATGTTGTATTTCTGATTCATAGCAGTTATGTTAGCTTCGGTTCATTTGACATTCAAGGGGCGTTCAATTGAACTCACCATGCCTAGTGTAATGTGGATAGCTCCGGGTCCCTTCACAAACTGTTCCTCTGCACTCCGCCCCTCGATCAAAGACTGGATATTCTTTGCAACCACGGCAGCCTGGGCAGCACCCGGTCGTGCTGCTTTCTGCGCTCCAGTATCGGCAATATCTCCAACGGCAAACATATTTGAGTACTCGTCATTGAGGAATTGCATCGTTGGTCGGACCCGAATAAATCCATTATCTGGGTTGATCACCGAAGGTTCCAAATGAGCGACTAGTTGGTTGTTAGGGGTTTGTCCCGTTGCTAAAATCACTAACTGGGTCGATTCTGTAGTGCCGTTCATGAGCTCCACATCGAACGTAGTTCCGTCGTTAGGGAAGCCACCAGAGGGAGGAATCTTCACACGAGATCCAGTGATCAGTCGGATTCCCAATTCCTCGAACCGCTTCTCAATAATTTCGTGCAGTCGAGGGTGAAAGTTCGGCATAACGCGAGGCCGTGACTGGACAACCGTCACCTCCTTCTCCGGGTAGTACTCTTTAAGGTCAGTCGCCATTTGGACACCAACCGCGCCACCTCCAACGATGAGAATAGATTTTGATCGCTTGACATCGGCTTGGTGCTTTTGCAAATACTCAACAGAGGACTGCTTATCGTCGTGCTCCATAGCGGCAGGCTTTGAGAGCCGAGTTCCAGTCGCGACAACAACATAATCGAAAGGAATCTGTTTTGAGCCCTGCCACTCGCGATCAAGCTCGATATAATCTTTTTGGATGGATGTGACACGCGCTTGGACTACGTCATGGGCAGCGGGATTCGTTGCGCTTGAGAAGAGTCCACTGTATGGAATGAAAGCTTTATGTTCTTGGCCAGGAACAATAGCAAATCGAGGCTATGGAGATTTGTTAGTAAATATGACTCCTGTGTCGTGTCATACCTGACGTAGATTGGATTTCTCTACTCACGAACGTGAAAAGATGGTGGAAATGGCTGTGAGCCTCTGCTAGGAGAACCTGTTCGAGTGATTAGTGGTAAGTACTTTGGTCACCGCGAGAGAGTCCGAGGTAGGACTTTATGAGGACCTACTCTGTGAGTCGGTGGGATGATCTTTGAAAGCTCCTGAGCGGTAGACTATGTCCAAAATCAGCTGGTGTGTCAGGTTCGCGATATATTGTAATTAACAAGACTTACCCGCCCCACGAAGGAGCCTCCAACGACGATGATATTCCGAAGCGTTGCACCTGCCATGTTTGATTGTGCTGAATTGAGATTGAGAGAAACAAGGAATAATCGATTCTTGGGGGAATTGGTCTTGCTTTATAAACCAAGAGTGCTCGGCAACCCACCCGGAGCTGTTTTATGCTTTTTGATCCCTTTAGTCTGGCGGGCATGGGCTTTATCTGATTAACTCCGAGGAATCTTTCCGTTTTGAGGCAAATGCCGAGCACCGGACAAGTTCACATCCGCTGCGGTTGTCCCTGCGAGCCGATGGCGCCACTCTAAATCCTTCTAATACTACCTGTGGCGTTTGCCCCCAGACCCGACTCGTCCTGCCGCGCTTCTGAGGAGTAGTAGTTCCTCGAAATATCAGAAAGCAGGACTGCTAATCCGTTGTGTACAATCGAAACGGAAGCAACATCTGTAGACCCTTCCGGCCCCACCGAAGCTGGCAAAGGGGCTACGCTACCCCAGATCACAAATGAACCTGGACATCTGGGCGTCCAGAAAGCCGAACTTGTTGGCGTTTATGGATAAATTCAATTGGTGCAGACTCTTCTCCTAGTTCTTGAACTGTTGATCGCCGGGCTTGCTTCGGCATGTAGTGGGGGATAACGAAGCCGGCCCCTTCACGCAGGCTCAGTCGGTCGGATCCTGTTGTCCACCTTCCGTGGTGGGGGAAGACATCAAACTTTTCAAAGGGTTGTGTGTACTTCGTACTCCCCATGTTGTGAAAATAGTATATATGGGCCAAAATGAAGTGACACTGGGAACGGCCAGATTTTAGATGAGAAATCGTGTGGAAATTTAATCAAAATGGCAGGTGGCGATTGTAGCTCTAGTCTACTGGTCTGTGATGATTGTGTCTGTCACATTGACTTAGTTTCTAGGTGCAGCGAAGATTGCATTTTTTTCGTTGCTCTTGATCCCTCTGATCTATGTCCAGAGTATGGCATCTGAAAAGTCTCTGGGTGGTGTACAACCCAAACTGTCTGTACCTCGATATATTTCACCGACCTAGGGGTACATTATGTCATAAAATAGGCAAATCCAAATTTCTTTGTACTATAAGCTGAAACTACCGTATACTTATCACTGATAGACGCAGTTTGAATCCATTTAGCTGATGAAAACACATAATAATGGCGACAGAAACTAAGGTTGAAAGAGTGACATCGCTTGAGGATCAACTCGCATGTGTAGCGACGTGGCAAAAGTTCGGTCTAGGGGAATTTCCCCGCCAGCAAAAGCATAAAGCCGAAGAAACCGAAATGACCCACTCCCGGTCGCTCAGCACACCTGTATAACCGAGTGAGCCCAGCAGAATGAGCTCGCGTCTCGATTGTATTTTAAGGATTTGATCTAGCCCCTACGGAAGCAGCCTATATTCTCTGTGATAATGGCGACCTCCAACATTGATCGGCCGCGCATACGCGCGAAGAAGGCATGCTTGGCCTGCAATGCGCGTCGCGTGCGATGCAATGTTCTAGAGATGCAGCCATGCCGGAATTGCGTGGCATGGAATCTCTCTTGCGAGCTAGGAGTGTCACGACGAGGAAAGTAGGTTCTTCTTGAGATATCGATTTCTGTCTTTTTAATTTAATGCGAACACTTATCACCAGATACCCACGCCGAAAGAAAAAGGCCTCCGAGACTGAGACCCTTGAGGCGCAGCGCATACCAACCACTACATCGGAAAGTCGGCTATTGCACCAAGAACCTCTGCAAGACCGAGGGGCTCACTATGTCCCATCAACCCACCCTGCAAGAGCCACGGTCGGGGATGCTATTCGCAAAACTGTCTTTCTGGGAGAATCGAGTCCTCTAACCTGTGTGGTTGATGAGGGCCAACGATCACCAGACAAAGGATATGCTTGTGGTATCCAAAAAGGGCGTCTGCATTATTCCATCTCCGAACTCCATGCAGAGACAAGCGAAGAGATTCTTGGACAGCGCCGTAAATCTCTTCAAGAACGTCTGATTCGCGAGAGCGCGTTAATCTTCCCGTCACCCGCCATCTGTGAGGTCCTTCTCCAGGCTTACTTTGAATGGTTTCATCCTTTGTTTCCTATTCTGGATCGCTCCCGAGTTCAGAATGATTATCAGGATGAAACAATATCGCCGTTGCTTCTGCAGGCCATGCTTTTCATCGGCGTCAGTCTATGCTCCGACTCTGCTCTCAACACCACTGGATTCAGCGACCGGTATAAGGCTAAGGGCTTGTTTTACCAACGTGCAAAGGAAATCTACGACGTTGGATGGGAAACCGACACAATGACCAAATTGCAATCAATATTCTTGTTGAGTTTTTGGCGTGGAGGACCTACCGAGGAGCGAGACGTGCGATACTGGCTCGGCACAGCCACTGATCTGGCGCAGAAGAAGGGAATGCATGTGATGTAGGACTCTCCACTTCATATCATCTATCGCTGGGTTTTTTGGCTGGGCTTTTGACTGACAACACAGGTCAAAATTAACGTTCTTGGCTGCTCGCGACCAGAAGGTTTGGAAGAGGATCTGGTGGGCTTTATATGTTAGTCTTCTTGCTAAACCTCGTGTCCTCTTAGGTATACAAGCTCATCAAAGATAGGTTCGTGATCAACAAACTTCGGCAGCACTAGGATTGCCGTCTCGAATCCGCGACGAGGATTGTGAGGTGGCCGAACTTGAGGAGTCAGACTTTGAGGAAGATGATTCTATGAACCCCAGTGAAATCTTTCGAAAACCGCCTACAGCGCACATGAATTATGTGATTCAAATGGCCCGATTGGCTAAATTGTGTAAGAAGCTCTTAGATTATGCAATGCCTAGAGTCTCTCACCAATGAAAAATAACACAGTACGCGAGGTTGTATCCAGCCAATACCTACCGGGAAAATCAAAGCTGGATAATCCATTGCGTCCCATTCTTCACCAGCGTCTCCTTGACTGGGAGTCAAATCTGCCACCAGAGATGCAATTTCAACCCTCAATGGCACGAGAAGTGATGTTTCTGGTCGGGATGCTCCACATGACCTATGCGTATGTTGTAACTCCTTCCGATATTGTCAGATTTCGGCCATCACTGACGCTGTTAGCAATCTGTATATCTTGCTGTACCGACCAATATTCCTGCAACCACCGAGTCAATCAACAAGCCCAGAAGGGAACATAGCCCTAGAGGCCGCAACTAAAAGTACTCGAATCTTGGAAGATATGCTGTCACAATATCTAGTACAACACGGATCTGTCCACTTGTGAGCTTGCCCATCAACAGAATTTTTGCTCCGAGAACGCCTGACTAACAACATAATAGGATTACTCACACATTTTCTGCTTTATGTATTCACACTATTCATTTCGGACGTGTCGCCAGTACCGCCAAAAAGCTTGCCGAGCATCGTGCGAAGCTCTGTCTACTCGGATTGAAGGAGCTTCAAAAGTCATGGGACTTGGAGAACTGGGTGCTCGACCTCTTTTTCCACTGTTTAGATGATCGCACGGCTCAAAATCTCCGACTCATTGATAATGGAATGTCAGCATCTGCCCTTAGCGAGCTTACAAAGGGACCACAGATTCCCGATTCGTCCCTGCATACCCCTTGCAGTACCACAAGTCGACCCCTTTCTCCGACGGCAGCCGACAGCATGTTGCCTGTTGTGCAAAACATGAACCAAATCGAAGATGCGTCAGTCAATATAGACTGGTACGAGATATTTAATGTGGAAGGTGATGATATTTCGGGACTAGCAGGCTCATTAACGAACCCTGACTATCTTAACCCGCAGAATCTGGAATTCTTATATCGATTTTTATAGCTCCAGAATTGAAGAATGACTATATTCAGATCCTACGCTCCGAAGTTTATCTCAGACAGTAGATATTTATTCTGGTTTATATATCAAGGGACGCGTGTTTGACGAACTAAAGGCACAATATAATGACAATATAAGAGAACCGCTAGGCCAAGAATACTTTTTGGGCGATTCTTTAAGCCTATACAGTTATATATGGAGTCACTCAACACAATACTCTACAGAGTTATTCCGCCAACCCCAACTCCGCCAGGATTGCCCTGTTATGTTCGCCAACTTTTGGAACACAACCCATTTGAGCTCCATAACCGCCCTGCTTCACTGACTTTGACGAGCCTGGTGGAAGAAGTGCCGGAACAGTGCCAACAGGAGTTTGAATGTCAACCCAACGATCACGAGCTTGAAGCTGTGCGTGTTTCCAGACACCTTGCATATCGTTTAAGTTGGCGTTCGCAATCGAAGCCGCTTCTAGACGTGTGATAGTCTCCGAAGCCGTTAACTGGGAGAAAACATCGCAGATTATAGTTTTCAAGGCATCTCGGTTCCTGGTCCTGAGTTTGTTGCTTGAGAATCGAGAGTCTGAAGCCAGATCGGGTTGTTGTAAGACATCAGTGCAGAACTTAGTCCATTCTCTTTCATTCTGGATTCCTAGCATGACCTGGCCGTCACTAGCTTCAAATGGGCCGTATGGATAGATAGAAGCATGGGACGCTCCTGACGGCACTGGACCAGGGGCACCATTAAATGCATAGTAGAGGGGGAAGTTCATCCACTCGACCATGCTCTCTAGCATAGAGATATCGATACGACAGCCTTGGCCATCTTTTCCACGCTGCAGGAGTGCCGAAAGAATATTGGTGTATGCGTACATGCCAGCGGCAATATCAGCGATAGAAATAGCCACTTTTACAGGCTCCTTACTAGCGGTGCCAGTAATAGATAACAGTCCTGCTTCGCTTTGAATGAGAAGATCATAAGCCTTCTTATCGCGGTAGGGGCCATCCTGGCCATATCCAGAAATATCGCAGACGATCAAAGAGGGATGCTTGTCCTTGAGTGCATCATGCGATAGTCCTAAGCGGGCACTAGCACCTGGGGCCAAATTTTGAACGAGGACATCCGCCCGCTCTAAAAGCTTCATCAAAACGGCGTGATCTTCCTTGTCCTTTAGGTCAAGGGCCAAACTCTCTTTCGACCGGTTTGTCCACACAAAATGTGAAGACATCCCGTTGACACGATCATCATATTGACGAGCAAAATCCCCGACACCTGGTCGTTCGACTTTGATGACGCGAGCTCCAAGATCGGCTAACTGCCGTGTACAAAAGGGGGCGGCAATAGCTTGTTCCAAGCTCACAACGGTAATGCCAGCCAGCGGGGGAGCACGATGACCACTTGAAGCTGTGCTTGAATAAAATTGTGGCGTTGTGAGGTAGGATGATGTGGCAAATGGCACGTGCAGCGGGCGCAATGCCCGGATAGGAGGTATTGGCAATTTCATTGTTGATAACCAGAGTCAAGGTTGTCCGCAAAGGAAACCACTTTTGAAATATCTTACTGTCCAACGCTCCATATTTGATGCTGCATCATCCTCGGCTGAATCAATCTTGAAATTCGGCGCCTTGGCCCCTTGACCGAACAGACAGCGGGGAAGTCGGCTAATCGGTTATATGCCCATCTTGGGTTGTGCACTCGGACGAGCGTATACCACATATATTAATTGACCGTGCAGACAAATGAAAGTAAGAATACACAAGATACTAAGTGAAATATGTCTCGACCACAGTGGCAACGTTTGGCTCGCTCGCGATGGGCTGTTCCGTCTTTGAGGACACCTCTGGGTGCATCAAATCGCCTGCCCACGGCACGTGCCACGTTTTCGACGTCTGTACGACGCGAACTCATGGAAATGTCAGGCTTTACGGAAGAGCAACTCACTGTTCGAGAGGCCATCTCACATATCTGTTCCAAGTTCCCCAACACCTACTGGCAAGAGCGTGACCAGCAGGAGAGAGATCCTAAAGAGTTTCACGCTTCTTTGGCCAAAGACGGATGGCTGGGCATTGCACTTCCCGAGTCTCTTGGAGGCGCTGGCCTAGGTATGTGGATGATTGAAAACTGATATCTTGAAAACTGTTACTGGGTATGCGGTTGCTAAACTTCATAACAGGAATCTCTGAGGCGACAATAATGATGCAAACCATCACACAATCCGGTGCAGGAATGGCTGGAGCACAGGCGATCCACGCCAATGTATATGCCACGCAGCCTCTGGCTAAATTCGGCACAAAAGAACAGCTCGAAACAACGATTCCCAACATCATCAATGGCACCTGGCGAACATGTTTTGGCGTCACGGAGCCTAATACGGGACTCGAAACTCTCAAACTCAAGACTCTTGCAACAAAAGCCGATGCCGATGATAGCTACCTAGTCTCTGGCCAAAAGATCTGGATTACATGTGCGCAGGTTGCTTCGAAGATGATTTTGTTAGCACGCACGACTCCGCTAGAGGAAGTCCAGAAGTCGAGTGAGGGATTGTCTCTTTTCTGTATCGACCTTGACCGCAATCAACCGGGTTTAGATATGCGCAAGATCAAGAAAATGGGCGGCCGTGCGGTGGATGCCAACGAGGTGTTCTTTGATAACTACAAGATTCCTGTCAATACATTGATCGGTCAGGAGGGCCAAGGATTCAAGATCATCCTGCATGGTATGAATGCCGAGCGCTGTCTACTAGCAGGTGAGGCTCTAGGTCTCGGCTATGCAGCCCTCGAAAAGGCAGCTCAATATGCCAAAGACCGCGTTGTTTTCGGCCGACCAATTGGCCAGAACCAGGGAGTTTCGCACCCCTTGGCAGACGCATACATGAAGCTTGAGGCAGCGAAGCACGCGACATACCATGCGACTCGGCTCTATGATGCTGACTCGGTGCCATCCCACGCAATTGGCGTGGCTTGCAATAGTGCGAAGTATCTGGCGGCCGAGGCCGCGTTCACTGCTTGCGAGCGAGCTGTGCTCGCCCATGGTGGCATGGGCTATGCCATGGAATACGATGTGGAACGGTATCTGCGTGAATGCCTCGTTCCTCGGATTGCTCCAGTGAGCCGTGAAATGATCTTGAACTATGTCAGTGAGAAGGTTCTTGACCTGCCTCGAAGCTATTAGAGTGGTGGAGTTCACGACGAGGTGATCTGGGCAGGAGAGGAGAAGCCTGTACAATAGACAATACGATGAATATCGTGCAAGATATAGACAATGACCGAGCGACTGATCTCAGTTTGAACCAATGTTAATTCGATGGACTTGTAGAATAGTTTCCAATCTACACTAATTAGCCATCTTCAAACTAGACTTAATGCCTCGAATCCCAATATGACAGTGTAAACATGGGATGGAGCTTTTTATCAGCCCAGGACCATTCAGCCTTTGAAATTAAATTTTTTTTTTATTTTTTTTTTTTCCTCCCTGAGGTGGAATAAAAGAGTTGCAGATCCGATGGGACATGAGCCCGCTGCCTAGAGGTTTTATACTATGCAACGATGATCGTCGCTCTTACAAGAATTGTAGATTTCATTTTTAAGGTACGATGAAATTGTTCTTGTGAATTCAACTTAAGGTTTCGAGTCCAAAGTTATTGACCCAAATCGCCAGTGACTGCCCGGATTGTGTTGATCAGGGCAGGGATATATATTGTGCTCGTGGACTGTCTATTTCTTCCAAATCATGGACGAGGTACCCAACTATCCACATCCATTCGTGTATCGTATTTGACCTTACAGCTTTACTGGGTATGCTAACATAATATCTCCAAGTTCCAAAAAGCCACACTGTTCTTGAACGCGTGACCGCAGCGGGAAGGAGGACAGGTAGATCCCGCATCAAGGGACAGGACGCAAAGGCATTGAAACCTTTTGCTTGTTAAGGAAATGTGGGTACAACATTGACCACATGATAGAATAATTATCTCATAATGGTCATAATGAGCCAATTATTACCCACTCTTTACCTCCGAGAAGCCAGAACGAACGAGATGTGAGCTCTGGAATGCTGGGGATTCAACCGTGGCGGCGGATTTCAGTGCAGGATTTCAGTGCAACAATCACCGTTTCCGGCCCAGGACTTTTCTACAACTTATCGCACTATTATTAATGAACAATCAAACAGCATGACATCGCCTCGGTATCCTTATGACGGGTGCGAACTACCCCAGTCGATACAATCGCTGTTCTGGAACGTCCGCAACCCACTTTCTGAAACGTCGCAGCCTGGATGTTAGCCACCCTGGCCTTGCGTACGGGCCACGCACACTGAAACACAGTGCTGGTCTGTGCGCGTTCCTTGAAGCGCGGTATTGGGGGTTTTTGGGTATTAAGTACGGTAATTCTGTCGTATCCAAAGCACTCGCATTGAAAAAAGCATGCATAATATCTGCCAATAATGATGAGTTTTGCTTCGAATCAGAGAACATAGAGTAAAAATGTCAGCGCTGTCAAATTGCACCATGTGAGGGCTTGTCCTCGATCTTTGCCTATCGTCATTGGCCTTTAACACAGGATCGTTATCTCTGTAGACCAAAGAACATGGGGGAGGAATTTCCCGAACCTTCTTGTCACATTTTCGAGGATTTGTGTTGTCTCCACAGCAAGGCACGCAAGTATTTCTGTACATGCCTGAAAAGACTTTCGTACCTGCATGTAATGGAGCTAAGCTGAGACCTACAGGCGAAGGCGTCCACCTTAATGGCCAATTTTAGTACTTCATAGTGAACACACAGTCGATGGCTTGCGAGATCCACCAAGGGTCCTTCAAAATCCCACCATTTTCTTCGGGTCCGTACCTGAGACCCGTTGCGGTGCCTGGCGGAAAGACCGGCCCTTCAGCCACCGACGATTGCGTGTCGCGGGACCCCTGATTGGCCGATGGCATGCTAAGCATTCTACTACTCAAGTAGGGCAAGCTTGGCCAGCCATTGGGAACGCCGCGTCTGTGCCTGTGCAACGTCATACGGAATTGGATGCTGGTGTGACTAACCCGCAATCGCTGATCGGAATCGGCCCAATCATGAACCGGAAGGATCCGTAAGTCCTGCCACAGTTGGCGTGCTTTCCATTTGCACAATGAACAGGGATCTATTCTTAGCTGGGGAATCACAAGGAAGAGAATAATACTTGGCTTATCATGTAAAGTTTATGCACTTCCGGGGTGGTCTGCTTATATATAGGCGGCCGCCACCAGGTTCATCCTCAGGCATACCCCTCTGTTGATAATCACAATCCTGTTCCTGTGATATCATTGCATTAATCGAAGAGATCGGTCTCTCTTTCTACTCAGCAATTATCAAATCTTCTCAACTCCCATACAATGCCATCATCAAGCAACTCGAGTGCGCGCACTGGCTCTATCCAGTCGCACGACAGCCCCAAGAACGTGCTACAAAGCAAGGCCGACCCCAATGCAGCCTTATATGAAGCGCAACCCAGTCAGTCATCCATATATCCATACCCCGGACCGTTACTATGGATTGTACCCACTAACACTCAATTCACAGTGGCCGTCAACGCAGAGCCCGGAACCCGAGACACCTTCTCCCTTCGAAGCATACAACACAAGGACCGCGAGGGAAAGCTCATCAGTACGTGACTATGAGACGTGAGAACATCCACTTGAATATGGACTGCGTGCTAACTCGCTTTTAGCTGACCCCGATCTTTCCAATCCCACACGAAACCGTCTCGAGCGACCATTGGATACAATCCGAGGATTCGAGGCTGCAATTGAATCCCATCGCAAGCAGAACCGAATGTGAAATGGCTGCGGAAATACACGAAAGAATAATACCGAGATCGAAACGAAGGGATGTTAATGATAGTAATGCTTTCTTGTTGACAAAGGACCCGGGATGTATGAGTATCGTCTCGTGATTATCTAGAGCTCATCGGGATTTGTGCAAATAAAATCTTTTTCAAGCGACATCGTTATCCATCTTTCCAACCCGTAGCCAGCCAGGTTGGGATATTGCGTGATGCACGATATAGAGATTCACTGTTAATCGGTGGACAAGCACCTTGTTCACTGGATATGACGAGAGAATCAACTTAATCTTACTGACAGCGCCACATCGAACCCACCGATGTGAGATTCCCCAGATCCTCAGATCCTCAAAGCTTGGCACTCTGATCGGTCGCGGCATTGGCCACTCTATCTGATTAGACACGCTAGTCGTTATTGTGGGTATACGAAGAGTTCCCCGTTGAAGGTCATTCATCATGGAGTGCCTAACCAACTGGATATCTCCACGACCAAGTAGATAAGCGACAAGCCATATTCTAAAATCAGAGGAAGCACTTCCCAGATTCTTTCCATATACTGAGGTGGTAGATATGCAATGAATTTGAGCGTAGAAAGAAATTATCTCCGAGCTTGTAAAAATAGTTTATAGAGGTCCCACCCACCACATATCCTGCTCAGGGAAATTGCACAACAACGCTTGAGGGTTTTTGGCTAGACTAAAATTACAAAATTAGACTTATCGGTCTCCGTATGAAGCCCAAAATGGAGTACATCGAGGGGGAAAATTCAAGTGCGATGGTTTGGACTTTGAAGGAGGACACGCACTGGCCGACGCCCTCTCAAGAAAAGGCCCCACCAACCGCGTCAGCCTGTGTACATTTTCACTCTCCACCATCAACTTCCCAAGAGAACTCACCCAGTCAGAAATACTTCACGATGCTATATACAGCACTTATTAGACATGATTGAGCATGTCTTGGATGTGGTCGTGGCCAGCGACTCGTCAGAATCCCCTGGGTTCATCGTCGCCGCGCCTCATGACCACGTTCCCAAGGCCGAGGAAACTCCAATGTGGCGCACTAACGAGTGTTAGTCTGCAGAAGCCAAGATACTTTTAGTTGGTGGGACCTTCTCATTGGCTCTTCTCATTCGTTCGGGACTAGTGTACCGATTCGCTTCATTACCTGCCAGCCCTAATTCATGGTGGTTGACGCGGTCCGTCTTCTCCTGGAAAAGGTGACAGCCGGGCGCCAGTGAAGACCTAGTCGCCCACCGTTTAATGCGTCTTACCTCGGGGCCTCTGAGGTCATTAGCTCGGTGGATATCAGCTGGGTCAGTTGTACGCGTCCCATTCAAGTCTTCAGGGGCAAATAGCAAATCAGGGTGGCTGAAGGGACGATGGGAGTGTATTAATGGACCACAGGAGGTGAAGCCACCATGGATACTTCTTCGTTGGAGGACATTTAGACATTAACATACACTCTTTCAAACGACTCTCTTTCACTAATCCTCAAGTCTTTCCTTCTTCTTGCGCCTAACTGACCCGAAGGAGGCCCATCCTCCTGTTTCACTCGCTATATCTATATTTCTGCGGTATCGATCGGATCCGCTAAACCTTTCTCGCCATGAAATTGTCTCTGCTGTCGCTGGCGACGCTGGTCACGGCCGCCGTGGCGGACCTGGACCCTATTGTTATCAAGGTATGCCATTGTTACGCCTTCAAGGAGGTTGGATAGATGTTGACTATGAATTTAATATTAGGGATCCAAGTTCTTCTATTCCAGCAACAACACTCAATTGTAAGTCGACTGCAGAGATATGCTCTATCCCTGACAATAAGCATGCTAATGATCGAATAGCTACCTTCGTGGTGTCGCTTATCAACGTATGTCTATGACCATTGCTAGATCAATCTGGCTCACGCCTAACACCAGATACTAACATCACCATCAAACAGAGGATACCAGCGACAGCACTAGCTACAAGGATCCCCTGGCCGATGCCACCGCTTGCAAGCGTGATATCCCCATTCTCCAGGAACTGCGCACCAACGTCATCCGCACCTACTCCATCAACGCCAGTGCCGACCACTCTGAGTGTATGAAGCTGCTGTCCGATGCTGGCATCTACCTGATCTCCGACCTCTCAGACCCGACTCAGTCCATCGACCGCAGTGACCCCAACTGGCTGACCAGCTTGTACTCTCGCTACACCAGCGTGATCGACGAGCTGTCCCAGTACAACAACACCATTGGATTCTTCGCCGGCAATGAGGTCGCCAACACAGTTGACACCACTGACTCGGCCGCCTTTGTCAAGGCTGCTGTGCGCGACATGAAGACCTACATCAAGGAGAAGGGATACCGGTCCATGGGTGTTGGATACGCTACTGCTGATGTCTCGTCGATTCGTGTGGACCTGGCCAACTACTTTGATTGTGCGGAAGCCGATGAGTCTGTGGACTTCTGGGGCTACAACATCTACTCGTGGTGCGGTAACTCGACTTATGCCGATTCTGGATACAAGGACCGCACTGAGCAGTTCCGCAACTACACTGTTCCCGTCTTCTTCGCTGAGTATGGTTGCAACGAGGTCACTCCTCGCACTTTCACTGAGGTGAAGGCTCTGTATGGTGACACCATGGCCGAGGTTTGGTCGGGTGGTATCGTCTACATGTACTTCCAGGAGACTAACAACTACGGTATGTAATGAATACCCTGGATGATAAGCTCATGACATCGATGCTAATTTCTGCAGGTCTGGTTTCCGTTGTGGACACCACCAGCGTAAGCACCATGCCCGACTTCAAGTACTACTCCAGCGAGATCGCCAGCGTCAACCCCACCGGTACCAACAAGGCCTCCTACACCCCGACCAACACCGCCCTGCAAAGCTGCCCGACCGTGGGAAGCGGGTGGCAAGCCAAGTCCTCGCCCATGCCCCCGACTCCGGACTCCAACCTGTGCGAGTGCATCTACGAGGAGTCCGCCTGTGTCGCCTCGTCCAGCCTCGGTACCACCAAGTTGGCCAGCCTGCTCAGTACCGTCTGCGGCTACACTGACTGTGGTGGTGTGAGCGCCAACGCGACCACCGGCGAGTACGGTGCGTACAGCATGTGCGAGATCAGGTACAAGCTCGCCTTCGCCCTTAACAAGTACTACAAGGAGCAGGACAAGGACTCTAGCGCCTGTGACTTCTCCAGCTCTGCTTCTACCAAGGCTACCACTGCCGCGACTGGAACTTGCTCTGCGCAGATTAAGGAGGCTGGTACCGCTGGCACTGGTACTGTTACCACCGAGGCGACTGCTACTGCTGGTTCGTCCTCGAGCTCATCTACCTCCTCCAGCGCTGGTGCCCCTGTCACTCTCCACTTTAGCGTGACTGTCGGTTATTTCCAGGTCGGCGTTTACGCCGCCACTGCCTTGTTCGCTGGTCTGGGTATGATCCTGCTGTAAATGCTCGTCTTGAGATGACTGCAGGGGATGTCGTGCCTTTTATACACTTCTTGTCTTGTTTTATTTGCTTTGTGTCCGCTTGAGAGTCGGATTTTATAGACCGTCCTTCAATTTGCGGGCTACTTATAATGGAGCTACCTGTTTGGTATATTTGATCCTCTCTCACAGCAAATACAACTTACTTTCCTCACTAGCTGTTTCTACACTCTGTAGGAACCCAACCAGACCACTGACCATGAGAGTAAAGGTATATGGATTCATGACCCTCTCTCACATCAAATACAACTTACTTTCCTCACTAGCTGTTTCTACACTCTGTAGGAACCCAACCAGACCACTGACCATGAGAGTAAAGGTATATGGATTCATTCACGCGTATCAAAATATGTTCTGGTACATCATCACTCATGTTATTGCTCAATAAAAACAGTTATTCCCCGACAATCGCTCTCTTCGTTAGGATCGCCGATGTCTCATCCAGTCGGCTCCAGTCATGTGCATCCTTACAAGCCTGCCGACTCAACCGGACTGCACGACTGGTCCGCGTTCTCATTTCCTTCTCGAATTCATCGATAGCCACCGAGGGTGTTGCAGAGCCATCGAAGATTTTTACGATCGCCTGCATCAGCTGATATGCGTCCAGAATACCGTGATTTGCTGCCTCTCCTCGGTCTATAATCACAAGGTTAGCCTCGTGACTCCAGGGTTGTCATTTTCTATGTAGGAAATCTTACACATTGTCATCGCATGAGCAGCATCACCAGCCAGCGTAACCCGACCAGCATGATTATCCCACGACAGACACTCCCAATCTGCCAGTTTTATCTCCGTGACTGGCGTACCCTCTGGAATCCGATCGACGGTTTCTTGCAAGAAGGGGACAAATCCCTGAGCCCGACGTTTCATATTCGCCAGGCGAGCTTCATCCGTCACGTCGACCTCATCCTCTGGCCCCTGGACTGGCCAGGACATGCATATTTGCGCACGATATCGTTCCTCTGCTGTCCCAGCCGTGCCATTCACTTTGGGAGTCTCGAGCATAGAGAACCAGAAGAAGGCACCCGTGGGTGGATGGCATCCCTGGAATAGCAGTGGGTCCATCGCTCTCAAGGGCTCGATCTGGGCTGGTGTCAAGTCGACGGCGACTCCGGTAAAGTTGATGCCCAGGGGCGTGTTGTTGAATGAGTCCGGGCGCAGAACCTGTCGCACCATCGATCGGCTTCCCTCGACGCCGACTGCGATACGACCCGTCACCGTCGTCTGGTCTGCGAAGACGAGTTGGACCTGGTTCGAGTCGCTCGGCAAGTTGAGACCGACGACTCGTCGACCCCAGTGAACATGTTCCTCGATCCCCTGCAGCAGTGCCCGACGAGTCTTTTCACGATTCACCCTCCACCGCGTACTAGGAGGGATCTTATATTTAGGCTCCCCGGTCTCAAGGTTAATGAACAGGAAGTTGCCATTGTCATTCCGCGCCACGTCCGGATCAACTTGGACTGCCTGGATGCGCTGCAATGTTTCTTCGGGCAACATCTTCCACATATACTCCAACGCCCAATGCAGCGTGATCGCCCAGCCTTGGCCACGGGCATCGGGTGTTGCATCACGTTCGTAAATCTCAAAGGGAATGTTCTTCTGTTTCAGGGCCTGACCCAGTGTCAAGCCGACAACGCCGGCGCCGACGATAAGCACGGGATCCATGGTGATGGTAGAGATAGTGATGGCGTTGATGAGATGGACATTATTATGGTGCTTGTCGTCTGTGGGTGTCCTTTTTGTGTTACGCCGTTTCCCCGAATTGATTGGAGAGTTGTGGAATGAAGTTAGAATGAAGAAACCGGAAAAACTCACCCGTCGCATAGATAAGCCACACTCAGTGGGCCTGCATTAACTACCGCGGGGATTTACCGCGGACATGCTGACAGTCTAACACTGGTTCACTCACTTATCACTCGTCACCCCGTTAATCTAAACTCCGAATGTCAATTGAACCAATTATTCCCCAATTCCCCCGCTTCTTCACCAGCGGATTTCTTCCGAGCCTCAACTTCTTCCGACCGTCGGCTACGCGTTTGGCCCCAACGCGACGGCCAAAATGGAACACGACGACAATCATGATTGTGAATGAAGTCGAGCGAAAGACAAAGTGACTGTCTGATATAAGATTATCTGCTGGTGACTTCTTCTCTTGATCATCACACTTCCACAGACACACTCCCCCCATCGATCGCTACGATGACCTCGCACGAAGCTCTCAACCCCATTCACCCCGCGGTGCTTCCCCACCTCGACCCCGTCTTCGTGAACCTCTACAACGAACACGTCGCCAATACCCCCGCCGGTCCAATTGACCTGTCGGTGCTGCGCACAAAATACTCGGTACTCTACTCGTATGGCACAGGGCCAGCTCCCGATTGCGCTCGTGTCTACGACAGTGAAGTGGCCGGCCACAATGGCGACTTGATCCCCGTGCGAGTGTACGAGCCTGCCACGCCAGGCCCGTGGCCTGTGCATGTGGACTTTCACGGTGGAGGTAAGAGAAGACATAATCATGGAGGAAAGAAAGACAAGATCTCGAGCTTGACCATTGACTCGTTATGATAGGTTGGGGCTTGGGTGATCTCGACACCGAATCCCACATCTGCAAGCACATCTGCGCGAAAGCCAATGTCTGCGTCATCGACGTCGCATATCGACTGGTCCCAGAATTCGCATTCCCCATCGGTATCCAAGACTCCTTCGCTGCCCTCGAATACATCTCCGCCCACGGCGCCGATAAATTCAACATCGATCCCACACGTGTGTCCCTGGGCGGCGTCTCAGCTGGTGGAAACATCGCTCTGATCTGCGCGCACCTCGCCCGCGACGCCAAGATTCCACTTAAGCTCGTCGCCGTCGGAACACCCACAATCGACGATATCTCCAAGTACAAGTCGACGGCAGATGCACCCTGGCCATCCATGCAAGAAATGGAACACGCACCGACACTGAACTGGGCACGACTCAAATGGTTCGATAATCTCAAGTGGCAGAGCATCCAACCGAAAGGACCAACACGAGACGCACAATTGGCAGCCGTGAAGTGGTATGCCAACGCCCTGCAGGCTCCTGATTTCACTGGTCTCCCCAAGACGGTCATCTACACTGCTGGCTGTGACCCATTGCGCGACGAGGGCGAGGCTTATGCTCGGAAGTTGATTGAGGGTGGGAATGAGGTGATTCAGAAACGGTTTGCGGGTGTTCCCCACCCGTTCATGCACATGGATAAGGGTGAGTTTCTGTCGAATTCTATAATGGTGTTTAGTTCTAACTGTTGTTACAGATCTGTGGCAAGCAAAGGAGTTCATCGATATGACGGCAGATCACATCAAGGCTACCTTGCATCAATAGGAGTGGTAGTTAGAAAGAATATTGGACAATAGAATGGATGAACACCCGAGCGTATATAATGCTTCACACAAATGAAATATAACCCGCAATATGGATAATCATCTTCATTCATCAACACCAGTAGACCTCGCCACCTCCCTCGTCAAATCCAAATCCCTCTGCAAACTCCCAATTTTACTCTCTAACGCAACCACACAGTCAACTCCAAGAGGCAATCTCAAGTACTCATGCCCCCCCTCAACAGCATCCAATATCGCCCTGGCAGCTTTCCGAGGATCCCCTTTGATTAGTTTCATGAACTCCGTACTGTTACGCATCCCCCGAACCATCTGCTCAACAGCAGTACCCTGATACCCCTCACTGAAACCACCATTATCCTGGTACTGTGCAGGAGTGATGAGCCTGCTAGAAAACGGTGTGCGGAAAGCACCTGGTTCCACTATCAAGACTCGAATGTCAAAGGTCTCGATTTCGTGGGAGAGGGATTCGTGGATGGCTTCGATGGCGAATTTGCTGGCGGAGTATGTGCCTCGGGCTGGTCTTGCGATGAATCTGTTTAACGTTGTTAGTAGAATACAAAATATAATACTTTGGATATGCTGACCCTGCTCCACTGCTGATCAAAACAATACTTCCCGACCTTTTCGTGCGCATTCTTGGAAGTAGTGCTCGAATAACACGGAGAGGACCGTAGAAGTTGACTTCCATTTGGGAGCGCACCTCGTCCTCACTAGATCATATTAGTCTTGGGAAAAGTCCACGCCCATTAAAGCCATTACTGCAACTTACCTCGTATCCTCGGCACCCCCGATAAACGCGTATCCTGCGTTGTTCACCACAACATCGATATCATGACTTTCGGATATCTTCACAGCCCGGTCATATGTATCCTTGCTACCAGGATCCAAAGGCAACCATGTACCGCCAGTCTCTTCGAATTCAGGGAATGTCTCCTGTGCTTTTTGTACTTCACGGGTAGTGCCGAGAACTGCATGTCCTCTTCCCAATACTTCGAGGGCGAGTGATTTGCCGAGGCCGGATGAGGCACCGGTGATGAGCCATGTTTGTTTGTGATAATTTGACATTTCAAGGATCCAACTGACTAGGAAAATGGGAATGTATTCATTTGTGATACGAGGTTTAACAGGCAATAAAGACGGAGAAGCAAAACGAGGAACATCATCATAAATGGCTGAGCGGACTTAAGCAATTAACCTCGTTATGACCGAGACACCCTTTAGCAGAACCAATCACATCGACAAGAATCTTTTCTTATTGTCATCTGCATGCTCTTCAAATCAATGCACCGTCATTTAGCGTGATTCCATCTCATACAACTGCTCTGCCAAGGGCACAATTGATTCTTCCAATCCCCGAAACTTAACGCCGAGCACTCGTTGCGTTTTGGATGAATCACATGCGTAATGCGTATCCGCAAGGCGCTTGCCAGGCTCTCCTAGAGGCGCTCTATGCGTATCTGGAAGACGCCTTCGAATAATGTCCGCGATCTCTTGCGTATCATACGACCCCTGTGTCACTAGGAAACGCTCGTGTTTTGTCTCGGGGAACATCAGGGCTTTGAGGCTCGTGTCGGCGAGGTCTTCGACGTCGATCCAGACTATACGGTCAACCTCACGTTAGCAAGTCGTTGTATTTCAAGGTCGAAGGAAATCATACCGGGCGCTTTTGTCGGAGGGATCTCGCCGTCTCGTCCAGCGCTCAGCACTCCCCACACAATCTGGTTGCTCGCATTGAGCTGAGACAAAGAAGAAATTGGGTGAATCATCCTGCCAAACACCATTCCCGGACAGAGCGTCACCAATTGATACTGGACTTGGTGATCTCGAATATAATCCCACGCCGTGCGTTCAGCAACAACTTTCGACGCGCGGTATGCGATCGGCTAAAATCCGTTAGTTCACAGTGCCATTAAAAGAGCCATCATTTCGCACATACCACAGCCGATGCATTCACTCCGTTCTCATATGTCAACGGTGCCCAATCCTCCTCAGTGTAGACACGACCAGGCTGTAGACCCAGACTAGCATCATACACACTAGCGAAACTCGACATAATGACTACCCGCCGAATCGATGAATGCTGCTCAGCAGCCTGACAAACAACCTGTGTCCCCTTTACCGCCGGAATCATGAGCTTCTCCTCAAACTCACTCGGCTTAGCATCGTAATTGAAAGCCGACGCCAAATGCAGAACAGACTGACACCCCTCGAGCGTAGGACTCAAAGCGTCAAGATCAGTCGGGTCCACAACAACCACCAGCACGAGGTTCGCAAGATTCTGGACACCGGCGGTTTCTAATGCTTTGCGGGTTGTATCTGCTTTTTCGGCGGATCGCACTGTCGCTCGGACGCGGTGGCCGGAACGGAGAAGGGTTGCGATGCAGTGGGCGGCGATGAAGCCGTTGCCACCGGTTACGAGGACGAGGGATCCGGGTTCGACGTGGGGCATGGTGAGTATAGTTTGGGTTTGGATATTGCGTTTACAATCACATTTTGAAGATGCGGTCGAGTCAAATATCTTATACGTATCGTAGGTATTTGGGCGGGTCGGAGGGTCGGCTGGACACCCGCGCGGCCGTCGGATAGATAATATCACGACGTGTAGACGAGAGAATGGGAATTCCCTGCTCTCTAGACCTGACTGAATGAACTCTACTCTACTGTCTCTTGTCTTGAATACGAAGACACCGACAACTTTTTATCTAATGTAGTCACGTTATTTGAAAATCAATTTCATTGTAGTTACAAGCTAACCAAATTCAACAATTAATACACATAGCGGAAGTTCTCATCGTCATGGACATCCTGTACGCCCCCCTTATTCGCCATCTTTGCCTCCATCGAGCTACGCGCTGGCACACCAAGCTGGTCGGCCTTGTTGTTGCGTCTTCCATACATGAGTCGCAAAGAAGTGGAGACTAGGATTGCCGCGGCATTCACTGCCACGAGGGTAATCTTGGCAGGGATGTAGCTAACTTTGAGGTTAGATTGTTGGTATCGGATGTTGTTTTAGAATGGGCTTACCGAGGGGCATCTTTAGCTTGGAAGGTCTGAGGGCCGATGATGTTGGCGACGCTGAATCCGGCAGAGATAATCGCGGCGCCGGAGACCTGGAAGAGTCAGTGGTTTTCATGAAATAGCAAAAGCTCTGATACGTACCTTCATGGTGTAGCCCTTGAAGTTCGCACCAGTCCAAGCGTAAATCAATGCTAAGGGGGCGACAGTCTGGAAAAGTTAGAAACTTTTGTCAAAACACAAGACGGGTTGAGTACTCACGGTGTTGACCAAATAGATACCCGCCAAACAGCCTCCCCTATTCGAAGCGGGAAGGAAGGACATGAGACACGATCCCGCGAGAGTTGGAAGCAAGAGAAGATCGATGGCGAGCCATCGCGAAAATCCCTTTGCAATCGCATAAGTGGAGACCATTGTTGACACAATGCTGACGATGCCAGATGGCATGTTCAACAGCGCACTTTGCTTGGAATCATAACCAAATCCTTTGATGAGAATGGACGAGAAGGTCGTAATGACACCACTGGGAATAGTGATGAGAATCGTAAGCAGAACCAGCAGCCATGTCTGGAGGTCGGCGAAAGCTTCCAGGACGGATCGCCAGCGGAACACCTTCTCGCCCACACCGGCTGCATCTTGGTTCAATCTTTCGACCACACGCAGTTTCTCTGCTTCACTGAGGAATTTGGCTTTGTCAGGCGTCTCCGGTAGAATGAATAGAACGAGCGACGAGACGATGATGTTAACTGCGCCGATCACGACAAACATGATCCGCCAGCCACCAAATGAAAGGTACGCTGGGGCATGCTGAGCGGCAAACGAGATGAGACCGCCAACTATCTGTCCAACTCCAAGTCCACAATACCAGAAACCATAGCGAGGTGTCGATTCGGCTCGAGTATACCACATACTCGTGTACATTGTAAGAGAAGGAGCTATCATATCGTCAGTAAAAACGATACATTCTCGAGAGTTTGCAAGAGATGTATCTCACCAATCACGGCTTCCATCAGGCCCAGAAGAATACGAAGTGCCAGCATGCCAGAGAAGTTCTTAACCGCCGAAGAACAGCAGAGGATAATACCCCAGCAGAAGACATTGGCTCCGAGGACTTTGGACACGGGGAATCGCTGCAACAGAGCACCCTGCGGGATTTCTGCCACGGCGTAGGCGATGAAGAAGGATGTTGCCAGCCATGAGAAGTCATTGCCATGCATGCCCAAGTCGCCCTGCATGCCCATCACATTTGCATACTAGCATTGAGATTCGTGGTTAGTAAAGAACTGGATAATGCACTCCTCCTGCCATCTTACTGTCTGCACTCACATTGATCGAAATCTTGTCAATCATCTGCAGGAAATAAGTCAAGAACATGATCGGGAGGATTTTCCGATCAATCTTGCGAAGTAGTCTCTTGTCATCATCGGTGACACTGCCCAAGGCACAATCCTCAGACAGATCAAGCTTAGTTGCGAACTCATTATTCTTCTTCTCCATCATTGTTAAAACGACAAAGGCAATCCAGATAGTCCTTTGGGGTAAGACGAGCACAATATGACATGGCGTTGGCCAATACCACTCTTAAGAAGAAAATGGGCGCCTTGATACCAGCGGTTTAGCTAGACAAGATAGTGACCAGCACACAGGTGGCTCCAAAGCTTCCTTTCCCCGGAAACTAGATACTGATTAGCGTGAACCCGGCAGTCAGGGAGGCGAAGTGACAATTGTGGCAAAGATCGGCAGCGGAGAAGCCAAGAGACGCAGCCGTCGGATAGATAAACTCTCGCGGCGCGACTAGCGTGTTATTCCCCTCTTTGGTTCCAGCCCGTCGCCTACTAAGCGATAAGAGCGGCCGTCGCTCAGGAAGAAGGACGAAAGTGGTGGCACCCATCCGACACAAAAGTGCAAAAGAAGAGGAATAACCTCACCACGAATCGAGTATATATTCTAGATAATTCAAGAGGTCTTGGAAATTCATCATCTTCATGTCAATAATCAACTCCTCTGTTGTAAAAATGCCTTCACGTACCGACTCGCCGCTTCAGGTGGCCATTATTGGCGCTGGTCTCGGCGGCCTAGCAGCTGCTGTCTCTCTGCGTCGCCAGGGCCATGCAGTGACTGTCTACGAGCGATACGATTTCGCAGGCGAAGTAGGCGCGTCATTGAGTGCTGCCTCCAACGGGTCGCGCTTCCTTGAGGAATGGGGTGTGGATGTGAAAGCGGCCAAGCCGGTAAGACTGTCAAAGGGATATTAAAAACATAATATCTCAGATCTAACTCGAGATTTTAGGTCATTCTCAAGCAGCTAATCATGCACAACTGGTCCGATGGTGAAGTGCAGAGCACATACCCACTGGGGGACTACAAGTCCAAATTCGGCACAGTATGCGGCACAATCACGCTATTTGTGATATAGAAACTAATTATGAGATTCCAGGAGTACAACAATTTCCATCGTATTGATATTCACAAGCAACTTCTCAAATCGGCATTTGAAGAACCCGGCGATGGACCCGCCTGTGCCTTGAAGGTGAACCACAAGGCCACCGAAGTCAACTATGAACAAGGCACCATCCGATTCGAGAATGGATCAGAGACCACTGCGGATTTGATAGTCGCGGCCGATGGAATCCGAGTAAGTCAACCAAGATTCATATTAATCCACAGCTCTAACATGTAATGTGCAGTCCCTCACAAGAAATCTGATCGGGGTCGTCCCTCAGTTCGAAATGTCCACCTCGTGCTGCTACCGATGCATCATCGGGGCTGATAAGCTTCGCTCTCTCGGTCTAGAAGACTACATCGACAACGAGGCCATCGAGTACTGGGGTGGATTTGGAATTAACAAGATCGTCATGTCGCCATGCAGTAACGGTGAAGTCGTAAGCTGTTACTGTTTCTACCCTGCATCAGTCAACAACCTCCGTGAGGATGGGTGGAATATTGGCGCTACACCGCAACAATTGGTGGATACCTTCCCAGACTTGGATCCCCAGATGAAGACATTGATGCTGAATGCTGAGGATATTAAGATGTGGCGCCGTAGGTTGACTGCTCCTGACCCAATCCAACTAGCGCTGACTATCTATATAGTATATCGACACCAGCCTTACCCATACTGGGTAAAGGGCAAGGTTTGCCTCCTTGGAGATGCCGGTATGTCCAGAAGAGTAAATCCAACACCAAGCTTAAATCCACTGACTATCTCAATAGCCCACCCCATGATGCCCGACCAGTCACAAGGATCCTGCATGGCCTTTGAAGACGCCGGTGCTCTAGGTATAGTGTTCAACAAGAACTTCCGGGAGTACTACAGCGTGTCCGAAGGACTGGCACTATATGAGAAGCTACGTAAGCCACGCGCTACAAAGGTCCAGGAAGCAAGTTTCCGGGCCCGTGAGGATTTGAATGAGCGAATTGGATGGAGCTCATCGTCAGACCGACCGGGGAAGTTGACCATCGAGGAGGTTTGTGGGTATAATATGCGGGATCACCTTGCAGAGTTAATGGCCGGAAACTGAGAGAAATTGTAACTATCTTGTTAGATCTGTTTTATGAATTGATCCATTTTCAAATGAAACCAATCGCTTATCATTAATCTCATCATAATACATAGTAGCATCCAAGCTATACAAACACAACACCGGGGAACTTGCTATATCGCACCGCGGCCCAATTTAGATCTGTTGTGCAGGAAGCACCATTCCATACCTCCTCCAACAATTGTCGCGCATACTGAATATGTCCAAACCCAAGAGTATTCTCCATCACCATCAGACGCTCCTTAACCATCATCCGGCGTTCCATACTGATACTACTCGATCCCGCAATGACCAAGGGGAAAAGCAGACACCCCTCAACCCGACTGGCATAAGGGATCTCCTGCGCCGAATCTAGGATAATCGTAATCGACCGCTCCACAAATGGATGAAGTGGATCATATCCCTCAACGACCTGATGCAGCCGCAATCGAATCGCCCATTCAAACGCGGTTGTAGCGCGCTCCGTCTCAGGCTCCAACTCGGTAATCTGGTCGTGATCTGACCGCCACTCATCGATCCGATTCTCTAGATGTGAAGCAGCCGTTCGGAAGCCAATCTCGGAGAGCTCGTCGACACGCTTACTCCTGTGATTGGCCAGCAAGTTAACCATACCCAAAAAGTCGAATAGCGCGGGCGAGATACCATATATCGCATCCGTTGATTGGCTGCGCTCTAGTTCGGGTACGCTGTTTCGCCGAAGGGAGGTCGTCAGCTCGGCCATGCTATCGCTGTTATGCAAGAGAGGCGCCTTGCAGCGGGAGATAGTGGACATGGCGTCGAGGTAGTGGAAGAGGCTGATGCAAAATGTCCACTCATCTGTGGAGACGAGGTTCTGAAATGCAGGGGATTTGAGGATGGTGTTTGCCGCTTTGAGGTGCCATTTCCAGGCTTTGGAGGTACCATCAAAGAGTTCCGTCAGGCATAGTAGTAGAACTGTGGCGCAGGCTTCGAAAATGCATTGGCGATCGGATCTGCCGAGCAAGGTATTGACTTGAGCTAAGGCTGTCGAATTGTCAGCTTGAGGAGATCATGCTAGGTTTCCGGGGGACGACAAACCTTGTCCTTGCCGTTTCAAGGCACATCCCCAGATACTGGGGTAGACTCTCCTCCAATGGCACCCACTGAGGCTGAGGATCACACTAGTCACGGCATCAGACGCGGCCGCCAGCGGCAAAAGCGTCACAAGGAAGGGGTTCCGATCGGGGTCGTGTGAGCGCGATAGGGCCCGCGCCACGACGTGGATATAGTGGTTGAATAGTGACCGGTCCTCTTCTCCACGCAGATACGGGTTAGTGGAGAGTGGGGAGCGCTCTAGGGGTAGCACAAGGGCGTTCTGTTTGGGTATAGGGTGTGGGAAGAGCGTGGCGATAAACTCCTCGTCATCCTCCGGGGTGATAGAGCTCAAGGCCACCAGCAGCGGATCGCCGTCGGAAGCGTAGATCGGATCAGCAGGAGGTGAGGCCGTCGCATGGGAATCTGGGGAAGATGATGAAGACGTGTCGATTGTCTCAGAAGTACTGGAGCTGGACGACCACTGGCAAGGGAGATTCAACCGGCGGCAATCACTGCATCGAGGTCGGTTCTCGTCGCACTTCTTCTTCCTAGGACCGCGATAGATCAGCACCTGGGGTTATCTTGAACCGCGCAGCTCCACCACGGATACGGGATTTACCTCGCCTTGCAGGATAGACATCCCCCGCGGGAACGCGAAGCCCGAGGACGCCGTAGAGCCGTTGCAGGCAAAGATGTGCGGACAGACTCCTTCTCAGTGGGACTTCGGGGCTTACACACATGGCCGAGACCTGCAAGCCATCCGCGGAGATGTTAGTTCATAGTTTCACCGGATTGAGATACTCAATGGGAGCTAGAAGAGTCGTACGTTTGCATCGAGAACAGGGCTGGTCACCGTCGCATCGTTGTTTCTAGGCGTCGATAAGCAATTAGCGTCATAACATGGTCAATGGAGACTCAATACTCACGATACGAGCACATCGAGCACAGACTCGACCGGGGGCACTCATAGCTTGTTGCGCTGGAGACATGGCGACCACGATAGCAGCAGTATCAGCAGTAGCCTCATGGGAGCGGGGGGAGAAGCAGTCGACGCGACGGTGTCTTTTTCTGGCCCGGCTACTTTCTTCTTATCGGCAGCTTCCGATCCGACGGACTGTCAAACTTGACGATAAGGAGACAAAAGTTGGATTGAATAGAGGCGATCCAATTGAAACATCCCAATTGCCCCGCTGGTGGCGCTCATCGCCTAAACGAGTCAAGACTGTGGCCCATCTCAAGTGCGGGGAAATTGACAAGGGGGCAAAGCTGACATGCTGATAATTCCGATGGGCCCGCATGGGTTTCCCCAGATTCTCGGTAATCTCGGTTCTCCATGGGTAGAATACGAATACTGTAGGTATCTGGCATACAGTCGAGATCGTTGGATGGTTCATGCAGGGGTGATTTGTATAGGACCCTAACCACATGAGACCCTTGGAGTGCAACAAACTCTAATCCCGACCGGTTGAACGTATTCGCTATTGCGTTCAAGAAATAGTAATTTTTAACTTTGTACTACATACTGTGTATTATCCCTGCAAAATAGTGTTCTTCCTCGAGAACAGCTCTGCTATCTCAATTCAGTCGACGGGGTCACCAGATAAGGCCTTCGCAGGTCTGTATGTTGCCAACAAGCAAGATGTACACATACAAAACAATCATAACTCGAGCACACCGCTACCGGGAGTCATCCGGACAGTTGAGATCCAAATCTCTCCCAAGGGCAATAGCGAAATGTTTGATCCTGCACCGTTCGATAGTGTCGAAGGAAACTGCAGTCTCTTCCTCTCAACGGAAGTGTGAGAAAGCGCGGTTGTCTTGTCGTTGCCTCGAGTGCTCTCTCAACAACTGCTCTATGAAAGGCAAGCTTGAATTAGGCTAGAATTCATTGGCCTTGTTTACATGGCAAAGGCTTCACCCCATAGGATTCTAGCATACGACTGGACTACAACCCTAAAGTGATGCTCCCGAAGAGTACTGATACTGACCTCCGGGGAACACTTCTTCGTGAAAGATACAGAGGGAGAGGCTGGTTCATTCAATCACCAACTATCTGAGACCACCAACCCTATCCCCACCTCCTATCCAAAAAGGCAGGCCGCAGTACGCTCACAATTGCCAACTTCGTATGCGCCATCCCAATAAAAATTTCCAAAAAAAATACCAGCAAAATCTATCCGGGCAATGTCAAAGCCTGTCAAAGCACGAAATCACCAATGAACCAGCGGGTGTGTTCCAGGTGATCAAGAGCCTTGAAGCCCACAATCACTTCTTTGAGGCACTTGGGGCAGGAGGAGTGTACCAGGCTTCTCCGATTCCATTGTTGTAGTACTTGCTACCGTCCGAGTTGGAGTAGTAGTAAGAGCCATTCCTTCCGGCCATCAATCAGTATCAATATATATCTTCGCGACGAGGCAGACATACTTGTTGGAGTAGTGATAGGCATTCTGGTTTGCGGCACCAGATCCATAGTCGCGGGTGCAATAGTGGTTGCCCTAAGAAAGATCAGTTTCAAGATTTATGCTTCTATGAATGCGACTGGATGTCTCACCTGGCTGTTGGTGCCGGAGTTCTTGTAGGTGTAAGACGCGCCCTTGTTGTCGGTAGGCATCTTGTCGTCGGTGAATTTGTGTTGGTGTGAGATCACAGGTGGTGGTTGATGATTGGAAATTAACGAAATTGAAAAGAGAAAGTAGTCAGAGGTTGAAATAGTGAAGAGGGGGAATAAAAAGAGAAAAAAGAAAGTACTGGAAGTTATCGTGGGGGAAACTGCCGTGTAAAGGCAAACGTCAGAGTGAAACGCTCTTTTCGATTTCGGGCAAGTAAAATGGCCCAGCATATACAAACTCGCTAACTCTAAACAGCGACAAGAACAACAAACGCCAATGTTCAAAACTGGTCCAACACAGGATATCCAATCATCGTGATTATTTTACCACTCGTTCACCAACACCAGACGGTAACGAGCCTTACCAGCATCCATGTCCTGGATCGCCTGGTTAGCCTCCTTCATGGGCCGCTCCTCAACCCACGGCTTGATCTTCTTGGCCACGACAAGATCCAGCATCTCCCGAATCTCATCGGGGCTTCCAATCATGGAACCACCGAGCTTGATACCCTTGGCAATCAATGCGAAAAACGGAATCTCAAGACCACCATCCTCGGGAGCACCCAGCTGAACGAGGGTGCCGCGAGGGCGCAGCAGTTGGCAATATCCGAGAATGGGCATCTTCGACGATGACACAGTGGAGATGATCAGGTCCAGGGATTGACCGTGGTTCTGAACCCAGTCGGCGTCGTCGTCAGTCGCGATATAAGCATCGGCGCCCAGCTTCAACGCGTCCTCCTTCTTGTTGGCCTTGCGAGAGATGGCGACGACACGATCGGCACCCAGCGCCTTGGCGAACAGGATACCAAAGTGACCTAGACCACCAACACCAACAATGCCAACCTTCTTGCCAGGGCCACAGCCGTTCTGGCGCAGGGGAGAATAGGTGGTGATACCACCGCAGAGCATGGGTGCAGCCTCAGCAGAGGGGATCTCATCGGGGATCTTGATAACAAAGTGCGACGGTGACCGGTTGTACAGCGAATAACCGCCATATGACTTGCCGCCATTGGCGTATGTGCCGTTATAGGTGCCAGTCATGCGGTTGCAGTATTGCTCGAGGCCCTTGGCGCAGGATTCACAGTTGCCATCGAAATTCTGGCAGGATCCGCTCTGCGCACCAACACCAACACGGTCTCCGACCTTAATATTTCCCTCGGCCTTGGAGCCAACACGGACAGCGACGCCAACTACTTCGTGTCCAACACAGCAGGGATATTGCGTGGGTCCCTATATTATCAATGTTAGTCGTCATGGTTGCAATAGCATATCACCCACCAGACGTCTCTGTGACTTACCCATCCGCTGCGCAGGGTGTGCATATCAGAACCACAGATACCGCAATGCGTCACTCGCATGTCAATGTCGGTCTCCTCCCATGGCTTGGGCTCGAACTCTTGCCAGACCATCTTGCCCTTGGCGGCCTCCTTGTCGAGGCCCATCCAGCCCTCGAATTTGTAATCGGTGGATCCCATGGTGAATGAAGTTTGAAGGTGTGTGTTTTTCTTTGATTGAAACAGTTTTGATGTGGAGAGAGAAAGATCTCGTCATGGCCGTCTATTCTATCCTCTTATATAGCGAACATGTCCCAAACTTCCACCGTCATGATCGCCATCCACCGGGTCATCGAAAATTCTGGCAACTTTCCACATTCATGTCTTTGGTGCATGATAATTTTGTGAACTGGGTCAGCGACCGTGAATGCTCCACACGGTCCACCGCGTGGGTTGTCATCACGGCCTTAAGCTGATATTATATCCGCTACCAGTCGAACACCCAGTTATGTTTGGTGGCAGGGATGGCAAGTGGCCAATGGCAAAGGTGTTAAGCAGAATGAAGAGATGATAATTCCTTGTTAGCCCAATCAGCTTCTCAGCGGCAAATCCCAGGCCAATTAAAGTTTTTAAGTTCTGACGGTGATTCCTGCAGAAATCTGCTTGATCTCTTTGCATCGATCCTCGATGACGCACTTGGCTCCCGAAAACTTGGCCTCGGCCGGGATCTCAAAGGCAAGTCTGGCCCACAAAGTCCACGTTGTTGACCATGATCCATTGGCCAACCATAATCGTGCCTTTGAATAATCTTCCCGAGGCCGACGGACTTCTCAAAAAGTGTCCGAGAGAGCAATTGAAACTGGATTTCTGGTCAAATCAACATTCAGCTGACTATCCGACCCCGAGCAGTTGAATTTTCTGATTAACGATCCTGTCTAGGCTTCTAAGTTGTCAGATGTGACCGAACATCACCCGAGACACCTAAATCAGTACTATGTACTGTACTGCGGTCTGGCCCCCTCGGCTCGGTCTTGCACCCCGTATCTCCACTGGCAAACTCCGCGCATTGTCGTCCCCGGGTCATCCGGACCATGATTACACAGTCAACTTTATCACTATATTTTGTGGAGGTTCTAATTTCGGTCACATACTATGTACTCAGGAAACACAGTCTCAAGTTCGGCGAGACGATGGCAGCTCGACTGACAGAATGGTCATTAAGTTTCTCCGTCATGTGAAAAGTTCCAGAAGTTTGAGCCCTCGGAAAATCTTCCGAATTATCTTATCAGCCAAGAATTAAATGATTGCCCAAAAGATCACGATCACACCCCAAACATCCATAAACACAATGCAAAACCCTATTTAAAAGATTTTTGGGGGAAATTAAGGATTTTATGAATGCCTCATTGAACAATTTCTGACATTTCTAGTTCTGGACCTCCGGGTACCGCGGAGTGAAATCACTTCCAAAAGCATTAGCAATCGTTCAAGTTTGCTTCCCTGGCGCTCATCTCTCAAGGGTTCTTTGTCTATAAAGCTTCGTCTCGGTCTGTACTCCGTCGATACAACTTGATGACTGCTCAAAGTACACCCCACAAAAAATCTCCGTTTGTAGTCCTCGCTAACTTCAGTGATGCGTGATCCATATAATCCAATTGGCTCTCAGGCTGAGACACCGAAACCCCCCTAACCTTTGACCTGAAACCCGTTTGTAGATCAGGAAATAGATTAAAATTCAGTGCCTCATTGGTTTTCTAGAGCTCTGCACGCACACAGCTGTGTGTCAGTGTAGAAGGGCTAGACTGCCGTGGCTCGACATAAAACTATTCTGCCATTTCCCGTAGAATCAAGATGATTTTCTTCGAACATAGGTACCATATTTAGTAGTCAAAATAGAAGAATCTCAATTTCATTTCCCCTTCCCCATGCTCGGGTGAATTCATCCCTCTGAATATTTAGATTGCGTAGGCAACCCCGTCTGCAGCCGCCTTTGCCTTACTCGCCGCTCAAGGCAACAGCAACCAATGGAGCTATAGTCCATTCGCTTATTCTTACCAGACTTATACTAGTCGCCAACTGCATCTTTCAGTTTCAAATGACTACTCCTACATCGGTTCGGGATGATGGGTTACCTTGAAAACGGATGAGTAAGAAGAGTTGGGAGGGTGTATCTGGGTACTCACCAGCTCCACGTTATTGCCAACGGGATCCAGGACAAACGCTCCATAGTAGTTTTCATGGTACTCTGGCCTTAATCCTGGCTTGCCATTACACATGCCTCCTGCATCAATAGCGGCCTTGTGGAAGGCCTCGACAGTGGCCCGGTCTAGAGCAGATCAATCCATCAACATGAGTTCCAATGTAATTCTGCGCAAGATTTGATTACCGGGAGCCGTGAAAGCAAAATGAATACCAGCCGGAATATTCGTATTCTTCTGGGCAATCCAGAAGTCAGGGATTTCGGCACCCAGTCCGACGAATTCAGGGAATCGCATGATCTCTTTGTAGCCCAAAGGAGAAAGGGCTTTCTTATACCATTCAATAAGAGGCTCAAATTCCTCCTTCGAGGAGTAGATTGTGAGATGGTCAATCTTGCTGGACGCCATGGTTACTGGAAATTTGAGAGCTAAGGCAGGCGATCTTTGGAAAAATGGATGGAGAAAAATGGAAACGGTCATATCATACCCTCGAATGGGATACCTTCCTGCTTTATATGTCCCGAGTGAATCCACAGTGTCTAAAATGACAAGCTGAGAGCACTACCATGATTCACGTAGCTTCGTATTCTTACATGAATACGAGGCCCATCTCACGGTCCGATTGATAGAAATTGAATTTTCCCGTACTGGTTGCGTCATAGCTGCTTGCCCCGGCCAATTGCGTACAACCGTGCTAGCTGTGATGCCTAAACAACACGAGCGCCACTTGCCGCAATACCACTACTTACAGAGCCGCCAAGCTGACTGCCTCGAGCGGGGTGACTATCACATCGTATCGGACCCTTGCCAAGTAAGGAAGGGAATACTCCTCCACTTTTCTTGAGGGTAAGAAGAAGGTATTATAATAGAAATAGCTGGTGCACTGTACGCAAATTTAAGGGGTTTGGAATCAATGGTTTCACCAGGGTCCCTGCTTAAATGGCTTTGGTGGTCTCCCGCCAAGATACTGAGCCCGTTCGTCAGACCATCGTATCTCCACTATAACATTTTTGGGGTTTCCTTCATCTGCCTATGGAGATCCTCCAAACTAAGCTAGACGACATAGGCAAGGCAGAGGATTCGAATAATGATAGCGTCAGGATTTAGCTCGAGCGACTAAATCGAGTCCTAGATACTCGATCTTAAAGTGCTATAATTCGATATATCATCGGTGGTCGCTAACAGTACGCAGTGTGCAGTCCTATACTTTTATAGAACTCTCAGAAGGATAGCGCTAATTTTGGCGCCGGTGTGTAACCCAGAAAGAGGTCTGAAGTTAAGCAGAATCTCCCAGTATTCTCAAGCTTCATCGACAGAGTAGCCTATAACTACTATAAAGGCCTGTCGGAAAGGGGAATTCTAAGCATCTAACGGAAGAGATATTTTTATATCGGGAGGAAGTTTTTGAAGACGATTCTGTTGCTGCTCCTTTACAGAATCTCGAAGTTGAATTCGCATCGTCTTTGAGGATAGATCTCTAGACGAGAGTGGCGCATCGTGCTTAGGAGATTACATTATGGAACTCGAGTTACTCAATGAGTTTACACGATATAGTTCTGTAAAGGCTGAGCGATCATGGATACCATTTTAGATTAGCTACGGAAAAATGTATGTAGTCCCAACGTGAAGCGACTATCCGCTAGCAAAAGCCTCATACACGAGCCCTAAAGGGGCCGAGTAAAACGGCAAGAGCATTAAACCCACTGAATTCCATCTGGTCGACAAAAGAACGAAAACATATACTACAGCCAAAGTATGGCCGTATTCACCCAGCGTAAGGATCCATTATCTACCGCCTTACTTACCTGATCTGAATCCCGTAGAGAAAATTCTATCCGAAGGGGAGGCATTGATTCTTCGCGGCTATCAAAAACATGAATAAAGCCCAGATCAAGGATTCGATACATTCCGCGACCGATGTGTTGAAGAAGTGAAGTCTCGAAAACATAGTGCAATCGTCCATTTACGGTACAGTCGATTTCAAAAACAAATCACCCCTTAGACAGTAAACAGTTCGCGAGATTGGCGAATCGTTCGACTAAAATAAGACAAATGGAAGAAGGAATTAGCGCACTTCTCCTGGTTGTCGCAGCCAAAGTCGAGGACCGTTCGCTGACTATAGCTGACTGTAATCGATTCGCGATAATTGGCGAGTCATTCGACTGAAATAGTTAGGTAAGGGGGTTGCACCGCTGACGCATATTTATCATTGACGATTTACTTGGTGTCAGGCGCTTGACCGTACCAGCAAAACTAATGCGCCAAGTAGGGCTACAGAGAACCTAGTTATTATTCCAATAATGTGAACCCACCATCTACAAGCCAACACTGTTATCCCCGGGCATTGTTCGGAGCCACTATGGTCCGTCTCAAATGCCCGCGATCTCGATACAGGTGGACAAGTTATTAATTCATAAAGATGGTGGCCTTTTTTGCTTTACATTTTCCATTGGGGTTCCAAAGACATTGGGGCAAGACAAAGATCATTCTCAGGTAAATCTTTTAATTCAAACCCTCAGATACAGATACACCTCGCAACATGGCTACAGTATCCAACGGCTCCGAGGGCGATTTCATCATCGTCGGCGGTGGTACTGCAGGCAATGCTGTCGCTGGTCGCCTCGCCGAAAATCCCAACGTTCGCATTCTCCTTGTGGAGGCAGACATCCCCAACCCTGACCAAATCGATGAGATCACCACGCCATCCAAGGCTTCCGACCTTCGTGGGAGCAAGTATGACTGGGCCTACAAGACCGCCATGACAAAGCGTGATGACTTCGAAAGAATTGAAAAGCCCAATATCCCTGGCTTAGACTACGCCACTCCATTGTCTTGTTAAGAGACTCTGATGACTCCCAAGGCTATGTCATTATTTTGGATTATTACACGCGTTGGTATCAGAATTCCGATGACCTATATGGCGGAATGTTGCGATTGGGAAGCCGCCAAAAGCAGTAAGTATTACCCAAGGCTTACGCCCCCTGCGTGAATTATTACGAACACAACAGGTTTTACCACACCATGTGTAATCTGCTAAGGAATTTTCCATTTCTCATCAGAATAATCATATAAAATGTCTGTCCTCTTTCTCTGATAGAGTTGCCAGCGCGCTCCCCCGGTAACGGGTTTGTTGACGCCTAACAAAAATCAGTTCTATGGATCTCGTTCCGTTCTATTTCCGCCTCTCTTCATAATTCGCCAGAAAAAAATCCTTTCATCTTCACATGATGATGCTGGACCGCGGAGTGGACCCAGGCAAACGACCGGAGAATTCTCAATAACTTCTCTAGACTCGTAACCTGCAATTTGCGGCATAGATTCTGGAACATCACTAAGATCTCATCGAACGGTCCTGTTCCATTGAGCGCAATAGGTGCCAAGCATGTACACCACAAGAGTAATGGGCTCGAACATTCCTGGACTACGATTAACTGAAGCCTGGGGCACAGTGAGCGGAGCATCGGGCCTCTCGCAACCGTTGGCCTGGGAAGTAGAAACGTAACATGAGTGGCGTACAAGAGCATCGCAAAGTGACATATTATATAAAAATTCATAGATCGTTCGTGTGTGTCGATATTTGATTGGACTTCGAGCTGTAGGATCTGGTCGGGTGTGTCGTGCTCATTTGGCAAAGAGAAGAGTCGGTGGTGGACCAGATCTCGGCTATCAGCAAGGACATCGAGCGGTCGGGGGTCACATGGCTGTTTTGACATGTAATCCATGACATTAGACAGCTCTCCAACGTGGGATAGCACTGTAATAAGTTTCTGATATACCGGTGGCTTCATAAACAGAAGTTCGTTAAAGCCAGATCCCGGTTTTTGCGACGTAGCGTTATCGTGAGAATCACCACATCCGTAGGGCGTAAATAACACGAGAGGAGGTCCAACTCCAGCCTCTGCCCATAAATGTCTACCATCGGATAGAGTGGTTTTCGGATAGTATGGGCGGCATGCAGGAGATCGGCTATAGAGACTTGCCACGCTAGTGCAAAGAGGCGAAGCGTCTCGATTCCACCGTGCTTTTCAAGCAGCTGGTACATAACCTTCTTCTATACCATGAAGGCCCGTGAACATGGGTGCAAACGGACTAGGCTCTCGGTATATCCGCTCGCTGACCGTCCCATTCACAGCGAGAACGAAAAGGTACCTAATAATGCAATCTACAGGTTTCTGTCCTATATAGCTCCCAACTTCCTTCCGTAATGCCCTTAAAGTGAGCCCCTTGAGGGTGAGTTGCTCCTTCAGTCCCGCAGAATCATCTGGCGCGCCGTATGTCAAACGTAGTACACCCTCGTGGTATTTGCTAGACCAAAGGAGGGTGAACAACTTCAGTTCGTCGTCGTCAAAAGGGATGGCCCACGTTCGATAAGGGTCGGGTAGATCCACGGAGCGGATATTCGGAAAAATATGTTTACTGGCGAAACTGACGATCTCGCGCACCCTGAGCTTAGAAATCCTTTCGTTGATGGGGATCATAGGGCCAAAAGTTCCAGAGCCTAGGTCGTGCACTGAGCCGCCGGTGAGCAGAGGGCCGTCGGAGCGAATATTCCTGTTGTGGAAGGGGCAGCGCACCGAGTGCACCATAGGCCCTTCGATCTTCGACTCACGGGTCTTCCGGGCAAGGCTTTGAGATGGCGCTGGTGGAACGATTGCCATACGACAGCGACATTCGGCAGTTGTCCTCTTTGAGCAATTTATTTATTTCTTCCACGGCATTGTTCCGCCGCTGCAGCCGATATTTGCGCTTTACTTCTTGGATAAACTTCGATCGGACCTCGTCCCCCTTGCCTGTCATCGCGGGCCGGCCAACGAAGATAAATTTTTTTCATCCTTCAATGACATTTTCCTGGGCGTATCCTTTGATTTGGAATAGACTTAGACGTGGTTATACGATGGCCAAGTGCGTTGTCAGCCCATTTTGTAAACTGCCCTCTTGTTCTCCTTGCTTCAGAGACGATGTCCGCCTGACCGCACGATCGGAATAGAGATGCTGAATAAACAGAAGAGTTAAACCATAACTAGCCCCTGTGCTCCGTATTCCGTATGTACTTCAATTGCTTGACTGAGATTTGCAGTCAGCCTTGCCAAGGACGGTACATCACATGCACTACGGAGTAGAGGAGGTTTTTGAAGCAGCCCTGTTATTGGAATATTCCAGTTGGGTCCGGATGACTCAGCCGGATCCCCCTTCTCTGCTTTCGTAGTAACTACGGAGTATGATTTCCAGAGCTTTACCAGTTGGAGGCAAAATATATACTCTCTAAGAATATATTTCAAGCTCGCACAATCTGGGTCACAAAAACCATCAGTAAAATGCCCACGCTGCTGACAGTCCAGCAAGTCACCAAGAGCTGTAGCACTTATAAAACCATCTGCCACCTAACTTTCTTTTCTTTGACCATGTCCAAAACTCCTGTGGGCAAGTACTGTTTGTCCACCAGGTTTAAACCGCCAAACTTGGTCAGAAGATCTTCTGCATACATGTACAAGATCCACTTGCCTTCGGCATCAATACATTGGAGGCCAAATTCTTCCTGGGCTTTTCGCAACGCCGCTTCAACTTTCTCTGTGGTCCCAGGTGATCTTTGGCCAGGAGTATCCATGAACTGCTGGTACAAGGCAGTCAGACTGGAACTCGTTTCATCGCGGAATCGAGTCCATTCGGTAAAGGTCATGAATGTATGCATCTCACGCGATGAGGCAACTTCCTCTTCGGACGAGGTTTCAAGTCTCAGCCTTTCCAAAAGTCTCATCCGCTGGCTCGGAGTCTTCTTCTCAAATTTCTTTTTTGCCGTATCGTATTCAGCAAGCTCTGACTTGAGAAAAATTCCCACTAGGTCCTTGGGTGAGTTCTGCAAGTGCTGGCGGAGCGGGAAAATCGAGACAAATGGGTTTCTCACACCCAGCCCTCCCAGTTTTTCAGGAAGGAAGAAAAAAGCGTCCGGAATATCAGACACGCCAAAGCGATGATTAATCTCATTTTTGAGGTATCCAGTCAAAGTGCCTCCACAATTATCCTTGATCCCAAATATGGCTTTGTGCATTTTCTCATATGAGGTAAGGATGGCATCGATGTGTGGCCGCCCAAAGCAGTATGCGGGCTCACCAAAGGTGTTCTTGAAGAATCTGCCAATGCAGCTGTTCCATGTTCGTATCCATGAAAGCAAGCTGTTGCACTGGTCCAATTGTGTCTTGAGTTGATTAATGTGAGTCTCAACCTGTGAATAGTCGATAACCCAGTCGCCCGAAGAAGGGTCCAACATCAAGAAGCCAATTTTCACCGAGTTGGGAGGCAATCGCGAGGCAATTGAAGGATCGATCTGATTACTCAAATACACTGATCCCGTCTTGCTTTTGTTTAACGCGAGGCCGGTGATATTTGCAAACCTCTGCATCACCTCCCATGATTGCGCACACCTCTGGGGTTCTCCGAAGAGCCAGATATCATCATGAAGACGATATAGAAGAACCCCAGTCTCGCGTCTTACAGCAAGATCCATGTAGAAGAGGATCAACTCGCCAATAATCTTCTCAGAGGCATGTGCAATGGGAATTCCCCTTCTACGTTTGCGAGGCCCGACCCGGTCATGTCCCTCGAAGGATTTATCCATGTTCAACGGAGTTTCGAGATATTTTCGGAAGAACTCGACCCAATCCTCGGAGAATCCGATGAATTTGAGGGCAGTATAGACCGTACTGTGTGGGATCGAGGTTGCGTACCACTGTAAATCTGACTGAATGACGACAGCCTCGCCATGAAGATGACGTGCCAAAAGGGTTTCGGTAACGACTTTTCTCAGCAACATTTGCTTGACACTCTTTCTTTCTTGCTCCATAACGTGTTCATCCCCATCTTCCTCGTAATTCCAACCGCACCTTTCGTCGTCTGGAAGTGCCGTAAGGAAGAAATCCTTCTGAAATTCAGCTTTTCGACAGGCCTCCAGACCGCCATCCCACTGCTCGCCACAATAATATCTTCGACGTAGCCGGTCGCGACGAGTCATTCTTGGCTTCGTAGGAACGTCCCACACCGCTTGCTCTTCCTCGATGAACATCTTCAAAATATCCTTAAGCATCTTGCAAAGTCGCATGCAAATGTGTTCGACGAAGATTGTTTCTAAAACGTCATCATCCATCCAAATTCGGTATTTGCCGTTAAGCTGCTGACGTGGAAGCACAGGAACACCTTCACTATCGGCATGCCAGTCCCAGTTCCGAAGGTCGGCGTATCGCATGTTGAGTACATCGGCAATTTCATTCAAAACAACTTTATTGTCCAAGAAATGCTTCAGTGTCTGCTGCTTCTGCTCGCTGACGATCTCCTCAGTTCGAATGCCCCGGATGCATCGGGACAGCGATTCAACCGTGAAAGGGTCCTTTTGATCCCAGATTGATTGCGATTCAGCGCTGAGTTTGGATCGAAGACTTTCCAAAGATTTCAGACCAATCTCTCCGGCAAAGAGACCTTGTAGAAACGCAGTTATTTCGTCTGGGCTTGTTTCACAGGGATTGAAAACCATAACCTCAAACTGATCGCATAGCTGCTTCAGTCTCTCCTTTTGCAGCTCGTCGACAATCTCGAAGTCTTCATCTTCACTAGGATGATTTGTTGCATCCTCATTCTTTGAAGGAGGGTTCATCCACTCGGTGAGAAGACGCGAATACAAATCCGCCAGATTCAACTTGCGACTGTACGCATCCAACCTATCACGCAGATGTGTCTCGAACCCTTCCAGCTTTTCCGATGGAATTGTTGAGTCAAATCGAGCTTGATCTACCCAATGTTCAATATTGGCAATTTCATTGTCGGACTCCGCGCCCTGGGAGAGCTTCTTCGTTCCCACGAGAAGCTGTGCAACCCGTTCTCGGAGTGTTTGACATTTAGACGCAGTTGCCAATGTCTCTGCCTTGCGAGCCTCGTAGGTGGTACGGTGCTTTTCCAATTCATGGATCTTGCTGCTGGTGAGTGACTGGAGAGTCCTGGATACATAGGGATCCATTGTCCGTCGCGAAAGATAAAGGATGTATCGAGAGTTGTTGTTTTTGAAGATGAAATATAGATGGTTAAAGCACTAAGCAGTCTTGTACTTGAAGGGAAGGGTTCTTGACTTTATTTTAAGTGCTGGTTGATGATCCTTCTTTTTCTCAGCCTCATGTCGATGCGGTCTCAATTGACACACTCTAAGTGGTCTTGCTGCCTGTGAGGCTCCACTGTTTGCCGCATTGACCTTCACGCGTTGGCCCCCAGATTTTTGCTAGCAGTCTCAGGGTCTGGCATGTGCTTAGATCGTCCATTCTACTGCCGTTCTAAGCAGGCTAAGTGACTCACCGATAAGTGCCTCGACAACAAAGTAATATTGTGAAGTGATAGTGGCGCCCGATATGTTTGGACTTGATAACAATTGGCCTAAAGTGCCTACCGTTGCCTGTTGCTGTCTGTTGCTGCTTATTGCTGCCTGCTGCTGCATGCTGCTGCCACCTATCGCCCAGAGTATTCACTAAAAAAACGTTCAGGCCTCTCAATCTGTATTAATGTCCTAAGAGTGTCCTCGTTTGTGCAAAAAAGGAGAGAGAGGGAGAGCTGAAAAAAGACAACCCCACGAAAACACGCTTCGTTTCTCGGCCCGTCCCCGATTCCGCGCTAATCCTTATTGGGGTACTCTAAGTGAAACGCCAGCTTGGCTATCACCTCTTAGTTATGTATAACGTTCGCGATTTCAGGGTCCAATGAGTCGTTCTAAAATACCTGTCAATCTCTATAGAATGTTCTAATATCAAGGAGTGGCAGACTCAACTGAGGATTGCCTTGTGTCCACACTAGACCTATTTTGCGTGTTTTATTCGGAGTAATCCAACTTTTGACACGTTGATTGTTTCAGCAAGACTAACGGGAGATGGAGTATTGACAACTACCGAGAATAGCGGATGATCGTCTACAACAAGCCTGGGGCTCCTAGAAAGAGGAGTTTTGGATTAGTAGGCCAGTATGCGTTATGGAGACGGAGATGTGTCTTTTCAAAGTTTCAGACCGAGACAGAGCTTCTTCCTGGCCATGTCGACGACAAAATCATGCAAAGAGTGCGAGAAAAAAGGCTCCTCTCTGATTTAGACCAACGTGAAAGGTATCTCGAGTCTTGCACTGAGTGATTTTGCAATTTATCCGAACCAGGAGGTTGTCTCGGACAACGATTATTCATGGCCTCAATCGGGCATGATCATCTTCAGTCTTTGCTCTTTATCCGAGACATATTTTCCCACTCTGGCTATTTATTAAACATAAATGGTTCCTACGAAGGACACAAATGCAACTCACTCATCTCTCGTTAAACCATTATCCATCTTATATTCTTGGAGACTACTCTATCACCATGAAGATTATTTCTGCAACTCACGCTCTCGTCCTGTCCCTGGCTGCAAGACAAAGCCTATCTGCAGTCACTCGGGGTATTTCTGATACAGTCTACAGCCGTCTGATTGAGATGGCGACGATTTCGCAAGCTGCCTATGCAAACTTGTGTAAAATTCCCACGACCATTACCACGGTGCAGAAGATATACAATGCCCAGACAGACATCAACGGATGGGTTCTACGCGATGATTCACGCAAAGAAATCATTACCGTCTTTCGAGGTACCGGCAGTGATGTAAACCTGCAACTCGATACCAACTACACTCTCGCTTCTTTCCAAACCAACCCCAAATGTGCGGGTTGCTCTGTGCATGGCGGATACTATCTTGGTTGGGTCTCGGTCAAGGATCAGGTCGAGTCGCTTGTTCAAACCCAGGCCAGCAAGTATCCAGATTATGCACTGACTGTCACGGGCCACAGGTAGGAAATTTCTCTTGTCTTGTTCTTCGCGAATTTCCTATTTTATTTCTCAACAATATCCCCCTTCCTGACTCACTTTTCTAGTGTAGCTAACACATAATATAGTCTTGGTGCCTCAATAGCAGCCATCACTGCCGCTCAGTTATCTGCCACATATAACGGCGTTAAATTATACACCTTTGGTGAACCGCGAACAGGTAACCAAGCCTTCGCGTCATATATAAATAAGCAATTTCAATCTACAGACCCTAATACGACTCAGTACTTCCGGGTCACCCATGCAAATGACGGCATTCCGAATTTGCCCCCAACTGCCCAGGGTTATGCTCATTCGGGTGTGGAATTCTGGAGCGTTGATCCCTATAGCGCCTACAACACTTATATCTGCACTGGAACCCAGGACCAGTGCTGCGAGGCCCAGGGCGGCCAAGGTGTGAATGCTGCTCATTTTACTTACTTCGGGATGAGTAGCGGGGCTTGCACCTGGTAGTTGGGATCGATTATGATTGTTCAGATTCTGGTGGTGACTGTGTCGGTTTACACATGGTGCTGTCTGATGCTGGTATTGATGCGTGCAGCAGTGGGTGATTTACATGCATTTGGTTCTTGTTGCAATCTGGTTATTTATTCGAATTGGAAGGGTGCATTCTTTGTCATTGGTTGAAATGTTTGACCATGACCCATTCATAGCTTCTACTCCGTAATTGATATAAATCTTAATTACAAGATGGTACAACGGATGTGGCTTCAAATTGCACCAGTTGTGATGTCTCCGTATGCCGGAACCGAATAATTGCCAAAACAACTGTCCTCGTACTTCGCTTTTGCAATGTTCTCCTTTTGAGCCTTGATGAATGTCTCCAGCTCACACCATCCGTCATCCCGCTTTCCGCACTCTGGGATACTGCGTCCAAGAGAGATTGTTCTCTGGTTTATCAACAAATGCACATATATTGTCTCACCCCCCTTATCCTCATATGAGGCGGTATGGGAGTCCTTTGAACGCTTCGCGCGTACCGGCCGCGGTGCTTTGATCACCTCGATATTGAAGCGGGCTGCAAACGGAACAATATGGCTGACTATCAGTTGGTTGTCCTCTGGCGGACCAGAGGTAGGCAGGAAGTCCTCAAACTGTGTAAGACCTAGGGCCGTCAACATCGAGAACATGGTGGTATCGTGACTGAAGTCCAAATACAAGCTCTGGTTCAAAGGAAATGTTGTAGGGTTGGTGTCCAATGTTTCATTGATGGCAGTAAACCCCTCGTCCGGTTGAGGGTACTGGTGCTGGAGGCGGGCGACGAGCTCGTGGACGTAGCCCACGCCCACTGCCCGTCCGGTCGGAGACCCAAATCCATTTTCTCCATAGTATTCTAGGGCAAAGCTATACTCAAAGCCATCCCATTCGTCCTTAGTAAAGAGGGAACAAAAGGGGCTGTAGCCTAAGCCGACAGTCTCATATGGACACATGGTCTGGGCAAGGTAAGTGTCCTCAGTTGTCCAGTTTTTGTTGCCAGTCATCGACTCGCGGAAACGGTCCGTTGCACGCTTCAGATACTTCTCCTGCCATTGGGTGTTTGCCCAATCTCCGCCAGCTGACCGATTGTTATTGTTGTTGGTGCATGCCTTATCTCCGGCCAGGGGATTCTTGAATCCAGTTTGTTCGATAATGACTTCCAGAGTTACATTATCCGCATATTTAGGGCCGAAAAAGCCATTCAGGAAGTTTTCAGCTGACTGCAACATTCGCACTTGACTGCACGTCCGGGCGATAAGTGGCGAGGATGGATCATAGAGTTGCCCATAGTTGAACCAATGAAGCACACCGCTATCAAAAAGCTGTTGGCGCCCAAGACCTGTCAGCTCTTCTTTTCCCAGCTGATATTCCCAAGTGTTGAGGAACTCCAGATTGCCAGTGAAGCGAGTCCCGTTGCCGAGAAGTTCCGCTATACGCTTTGGCAGAGTGGCCACAGAGGCACTGGAAGTGGGATACCGAGATCCGTGTCGATGCACCATATGCATCTGTGTGATATTGGAGCCGGGGGGGAGTGAATACTCTTCAACCCCGAATCCAGAAGGATTAGGCATGTAAGGTCTTGCTTCCATGGTTAGCCAAAAAGAAAACAAGCCAGTGAAGCTGTACCCATACTTACGAGAGATTGCCCATATGTTCAAATAATTCGGCACCATCACCCTTTCCAAGAATAGGTACATCGGTCACCACCGGGGTATTAGGCACATAAGAATGCTTCCCAGCAGGAGCCGCGTTTGTCTGGGCCAGGAACGGTGCGCTTCCGGCCTGTGTTGGACCTGTGTTATATCTGCCATTACTTGAGGGGCCAATTGGTTGGATCTGCGAAATATATACCAGCAAATGGACCATAGCTGGTCTGTAAATAATCCGGAATTGTGGATGTCCCTCTTGGCTTCACGGCGGCAGCATCCACGGCTGCGGTAACCCCAAGAAGTAGAAACTGAGAAGAGATATGCATCACGAATGAATCTGGTGTAAATATAATCAATGAGGCTCATCAACAGTTGCCTTTGATGTTCCTTCTCGCCTCAAGGTGCTGTTTGACATTTTATAGAGGAACAGATGGTCACATTCTTTGGGATGTGAATGTGATTCCTTAAACCACACCGTATTCAGCGATAGATTTCTCATTAGCCGACCCTTGTAAGTAAGTTCCAGTCAATTGGACCCAGGGCAACCTAAGCGTTGACGATCTAACGGAAAATGTCAAGGAAGTCTCGATATCCCCATGGGGCCCCATGTTTTTCTCTTTTTTTTTTTTTTTCCAACATTCCATACCCACATCCATGGATGATGTACAGTCCAGTGACTTCGCGGAAGTTTTAACAACACCCCGAACCTACTCATTACCACTCATCACACCGCTCACATCAGGCTCTTCCGCCTACTGAATCTGTCTCTAGGTCAGAGCATGACAAACCGAATCAACGGGCTCACTGCGTAGAATGTTGACATATAACAGAACAAGCGGATTCATGAGTCCGATGAGAGTATTTAGCATGAGAAGTATGCAAAAGTCGCCCCATAGCTAGTCAGGGGAAAGTTTTCTGCGGGCAGAATATTATACAATAAGTATGGCAAAGGCAGCCTGAAAATCAAGGAATAATCTTAGTTCGACTATGCAACTATCCAAGGAATAGGAAGAGAAACAAAGAAAGGTAAGGTCAAAATAGGCCGAAACTGTCAATCGCGCGGTAGGCCTAGAACCCACTATTAGGGAAATCCTAATAGGGATTTCCTCGGGAGGTAACTTCCATCAAAATGTGAAAATGGTCACACGGTGTTTTGCCGTTCTGGGCAGTTCTTCTCGATACTGTAGTTCCACACGAATCTACGCTATCCCGTTCCCGTCCTGATCCTTACTCCACCTTCGTATTTTCACATCCATCTAAACTCCACAATCCCCGTTAGCGGTTTTTCTCTTCTCTCGTGTTTCAGCGTGGGGGCAGTTGTTACTAACATACTTTTCTGGAGTCAACTGTAACCCCGCATTTCCGGTTATCTCCCGAGGTCGGTAACGGCTTCTTCCTGCGTAAGCAGGAGAAACACTAAATACTCGTCTACCGATTGGCTGCCAAATTGTTCTCGGAATCATGTTTCCTTTCTTAACTTGACGAACCAATCAGGGTCATCCCTTGTGATATTTGGGATGGCAGTTTTCATTTTCGAAATCGGCTCCGTATCAGTGGCCGACTAACTCGGGGGCCCTTTCCCCCATTTCACTATTGCCTCCTTAGATACTTGGTAATAGCCGACAGCCTCAGATACGGTTCCAATTTTTTCTACATAAATAGTCCTGGCTTCAGGAAAAGATGCCTCTGATTTAGTCATATCACTACTTTTTGCCCATTTGTTCGTGCCCAGAGTGTGGCATTTCAGCTTCGATAAGGACATTTATGGCCAAGGACGACATTTCGTCGGCAGGGATTGCCTTTGAGGATGTGGAGCGCCAGGATACTGTGTCGACAGCCAAGGCAACCAACAATGCGAAAGCAGCTACTGAAGCAGAGCATAAGATGACCTTGCTACAAGGTATCAGAACTTATCCCAAGGCGATCGCGTGGAGTGTTCTCATTTCCACATGTATCGCAATGGAAGGTTATGATATCAGTCTGGTCAATAATTTCTATGCGTTTCCACAATTCACCCGCAAATACGGCGAATTGACGCCAGATGGCTCCTATCAAGTCCCAGCTGCAGTACGTTGAGCCAGTGGCTACTATCTCTCTCTCCTCCATTCCTTGTTGATTTCATTACTAAGTACATTCTCGCACTTAGTGGCAAGCTGGCCTCAGCAACGGTGCCTCTTGTGGAGAAATCATTGGGCTCTTGATCAACGGATGGGCTTCGGAGAGATTCGGGTACCGCTATACAATCATGATTTCCCTCGCCTTGATCACCATATTCACGGCAATCTTTTTCACGGCACCAAACATTCAAACCCTCCTTGCAGCGGAAATCCTTGCTGGAGTTCCATGGGGCATTTTCCAGACGCTCACGATTACCTATGCTTCTGAAGTTTGCCCTGTCGTCCTAAGAGGGTATCTCACGTCATACATCAATTTCTGCTGGGGACTAGGGCAACTTATAGGCATTGGGGTCATCAAAGCAATGTTAAATCGTAATGATCAATGGTCGTACCGAATCCCATATGGATTGCAGTGGATGTGGCCAGTACCCCTCTTCGTTGCGATTTATCTCGCCCCGGAATCACCGTGGTGGTTGGTCAGAAAGAATAGGGATGAAGACGCGAAGAAGGCACTCCTACGCCTCACAAATGCCGACCGAGTGGATTTCAATGCGGACGAAACAATTGCTATGATACGCCACACCACTAATCTTGAAGAGAAGCTTTCAGATGGAGCTACATACTTTGATTGCTTCAAAGGGACCAATTTACGGCGAACGGAGATTGTCTGTCTTGTGTGGGCGATTCAGAACCTCAGCGGCAATTCGTTTTCCAATTACTCCACATACTTCCTTGAACAGGCAGGATTATCAGCATCCAATTCCTATTCATTCGCGATGGGACAATATGGAATCAACATGGTTGGAGTCTTTGGAGCATGGCTCCTTATGTCCTTCGGAATTGGTCGAAGGACGCTATTTTTCTATGGCCTCTGCGGGCTATGCACAATCCTAATTGTTATGGGCTTCCTTGGCCTGGTTCCTAATAGGGATCAAGCATCGCTCGCAACAGGTTCAATGATGCTTTGCTGGGCATTGTTCTACCAGCTTTCTGTCGGGACTGTGGCTTATTCCCTCGTGGCAGAAATATCTACTCGTCGACTGCAAATCAAGACTGTGGTGCTGGGCCGCGTCCTATACAATGTTATCGGTATCATCTGTGGTGTGCTAACTCCCTATATGTTAAATCCTAGTTCCTGGGATTGGGGTAATTATGCCGGGTTTTTCTGGGGAGGTGTTTGCTTTTGTTGTGTTGTATACACGTTTTTCCGAGTTCCAGAAACAACCGGTCGCACTTTTGCTGAACTTGATATGCTGTTTGAAGAGAATGTATCGGCCAGGAAATTTTCCAGCACCCAAGTTGATGTATTTGGAGGTCAGGTGGAAGTGGAAGTGTTCGAACACAATGCAAAAGCATAAGGTATTTTACGCTGTCAGGCCCGCTGGAATGAAAGCCTGGACTTGAATTGATGGAGATTCCTCTCCTTGGAGGCTTCCCTCCAGGCCCAGCGCCGAGATGCCTTGTCGTCTGTTCCAGTGTCTTTCCGTTTCTTCCTTCCTCCTCTTGCAGAGTGCGTTGTCCTGTTGCTTCCTGACCCTTCTCGCCGAAGATGTGATTTTCTGTCGACTTGGTCTGGTTTGTAGACCAAGTGTCCTTCCTTTTTTGGTGGCCAGAAGGTTTTGGGTTAAATAGGCAATTGCTATATGGCCATCTCCTGCTCTCTCACTAGATGCAGACAGTATTGACAAGTTTGACAGGTTTTAATTTCGCTTGCTTCCTTTGCGTAGAAATTTCCTCATGAATTAATCAGATCTTGCCCTTACGTTATGATTTTAAAGTCAACCCTAACATTCCCCAGAGCGGAAATGCTGACCGTTCAGACGATGGACTGATCTATCGCCTCTTTTCACCATGTTTTAGTGGTCTCAGCCAAAGCCGAAGATAATGAAGTCTTCCCACAGGTGTAGCTTTGTGCCGGTAGATAAACGCTCGCTATGAAGCTAGCGCGAGCTGCTTGGAGCTAGATACTATAAAAAAGGATTCGCGTCATCATGAAGGCCAACCGGCGTCGAATCATCTTCTTAGGTGAGTATTAGCTGCATGATTTGCGAGGCACATCTAGTGCAAACTCTCAAAGTACCATGACCTAGCCCACGATTAGTTTGGTTTAGTTGGGGATCTCATATACTTATATTATAGCGCGGATAAGTTTATTCATTATGACGATAACTGAATGTTTCGGAATGGGGAGCACAGTCTTCGAGTTGACATATGCCTTTGCCTTCAGGCTGTCGGCGCACGGCGTGATAGGTATCGGGCTATCCAAGGAAATCGGTCTAGCTCGTGTAAGAGAATTAGTTAGAAGACCTACTTAGCAGAGACCCGGGCAGTCAGTACAGTATAGTAGTTGTAACCCACATTAAACTGTGAGTCTGAGTACTATCAAAAATATTCCTCTTGTTCCTGTCGGGTTCTTGGCAAAGTTGGCAGCTGCCAATAAAAAAAGTGTGGAGGAAGGAATGATGCCATCAGGGGCCCGGATGGCGATCCAACGCGCTACATGTACCCGAACTATATGCATCGAGGATGTTTGCACAGATTAGAGTTGTAACTATATAGCACCTCCAAAGGAGAAGTCGATTGCAAAACACAGCAAAATCATCAGGATTAAGTTCCTCGTCAGATTGACTTGACGAACCATTCGTTATGTCGACCAGTAAATCTATTTCCCCGGTTTGTTCGGCACTCTCTGTAAACGCCAGTTCGCGTGGAAGTGGAGCCGACCGCAATTGCGTGCTTTATGATCGTGATGAGAACACAAACAACAGCCATCATTGGGCTCAGAATCTCGTTTCAACTCGAATAACTACCCTTGAAAACGACGGAACTGCCGGAGAATAACGCCATGGCTCGCCAGAACACCCTAGCAAAGGGTCGTTAGGGCCGAGATCCAGTCGAGTATCAACATCGTTTAATTTGACCTGGGCTACTTTATCAATGGACTCCCCCGTCCTCTCAGTCATATATTTTCTCATTCGATAAATCATTGCTTGGACAACTTCCACTCCTTTGCGTGTTCAAGCGTGCAAGATGGCTGCGAACACCAGCTATGGCACGGACGATGCTCCGGACGATCATACATCCCAAACAAATGGACTCACCACGGTCGCAAATGGGCAAAACAAGGCAAATGACGAAGAAAGTCCTTTGCTTTCACAGTCAGGTTCCCCAGATGTCAAGAAGAGTGCTCTAGCGGGCATAGGCACAATCATTGCGGTTCTCTTGCTCGGTTTGTCGAATTCCGTCTTTGCATTTGTAGATGCACGGCTAAATTTAGCGATAACACAGGCGAATTCGTTTCCAATGCCGATGCCACTCTAGTTATGGCCGCCGCTGGCCACATTTCCTCCGAGTTCAATCGACTTCGTGATGCGAGCTGGCTCGCTACTGGATATATGCTGGGTCTCTGCGCCGTACAACCGATGGTGAGTGGATCGGCCCGAATCGCGCGGATTGACACTGACTGGATATAGTACGGCAAACTTAGCGACATCTTCGGTCGCAAACCTCTGTTATTGGTATCATACTTTTTGTTTGGAGTCGGTTGCATTATCAGGTATCATTTTGTCCTCTACCCTCGAAATAACTTGCGGCTCTGACTAGTTGCAGCGGCATTGGCTCGCAGATGTGGACGGTCATTCTCGGTCGTGTGATTAGTGGCATGGGAGGCGGCGGGTGCATGACAATCAGTTCAGTGATCATTACGGGTAAGGAGAATTTTCATTTCCTTAAACTTGAACTGAACTAACGATTTCTAGATATTGTTCCCAAGCGCGAAGTCGCGTCATGGCGGGCCTATATCAACATATCCATGACGCTCGGCCGTAGCATCGGTGGCCCCTTGGGCGGATGGCTTAGTGATACTATCGGATGGCGATGGTAGTCACTCCCTTCTTTTGCGATTCCGATGGACATCATATTCTGACAATACCTTAGGCTTTTCCTCCTCCAAGCACCATTATTTGCCATTGCCGCTGTTCTAGTAATCGCCAAGCTTCAGGTTGATCATGCCACAAAACCAGCGAAGCACGATACTCTATCCCAGCTTCGCCAGATCGACTTTCTGGGTATTGCTCTGCTCGGCACGTCGATAGTGGCCGTCACCGGTCTACTAGACCAAGGTGGAAAGACATTCCCCTGGCGATCCTGGGTGACCGTGGTTGCCGGTGGTGGAGGACTTACGCTACTAATTGGATTCGTTCTTGTGGAAGCCTACGTCGCGAAAGATCCCATTTTCAACTTGCGTATTCTGCGCCGACCTAATGTGGCCGCTAGCTACCTCATCGGAACTCTACAAATCACGGCACAACTGGGCATGTTATTCTCGATTCCGCTGTACTTCCAGGTGACGCAGCGTGCCTCGGTCACGGTCGCTGGTGGCCACTTGGTCCCTACTGTCATCGGTAATACGCTGGGTGGGCTTGTTGCCGGCGGCTTCATCCGTCGCACTGGATATTACAAAAATCTACTTGTTCTGGCCAGCTTAATTTCGTCGATATCATATGTGCTGCTCTACTTCCGGTGGAATGGGGACACCGGATTCTGGGAGTCCCTGGACATCATCCCCGGCGGCGTGGGAACTGGTATTGCTTCAGCGGCTGCATTCGTTGCTATGACTGCTTCACTGCCTGCAGAAGATATCGCCATGGCCACCTCGGGTTACATGCTGGTGGTCAGCTTTGCCATGACAGCCGGAGTTACAATTTCTAACAGCGTCTTGGGTCTTGAGTTTCAGCAGCAGCTTCGTCGCAATCTTCACGGCCCTAGCTCAGAGACAGTGAGTTCCCTACAGCAGCGAACAATCAAGGCTTTACTAACAGCTAGAGCAGATTATTAAACGTGCAATGGCGGATACTGATTATATTGCCCATCTGACCGGCAACCTCCGAGAGATTGTGGTCGAATGCTACCTGGCAGGCCTTAACCACACATATCGTAAGCTATTTGATTCCACTCTTGACTTCCTTGTTCTTCTACTGACGCTTATCAGTTGCCTCCCTTGGGTTTTCCCTTGTTGCCGCATTCTTTGGCTTGTTCATCCAAAACCACCAACTATAGACATTGACTACGTGCAGCATCTTTCACCGGCTAAATTTTCTCTGTCATATTCGAATGGAAGACTAGATACTGGCTCAAAATTGACTCAAAAGAAATCGAGCGAAAACAGCAAATATATCCTTCTTCAAACTTTCTTCCCTCGCTCCATTTCACTACTCCTTACACTAACGTTCACGGGCATCCATGCTTCCGTCATTTCCATCTACCGCCAGGTGTCGCTCTCGGTAACAGCAGTAGTGGCGCAAGCTGCAGGCACAGTGTACGAGCGGTTCGGGTCACTTTCCCACTCAATGGTTCCTTCGCTCTCGATCCGGATATACTTATACTCGAAGACTGTGCCAGCAGGCAGGCTGACATCCACAAACCAGAGGTGGTTGCTGGATGTGTAGTCTGCTGCGCTCAAGGCGACTGCGTTGGAAGTATCCCAGGAGCCCAACTGGCTGATGGAACCCGCGATCTTGATGTTTTCGCCGTAGTAGGTTGCTGCGATAAGGTCGAATGTCACGGCCACGGCAGTAGGGGTGGTGCACGAGGAAGTCGTGGTAGTAGTTGTCGAACTTTTGGATGTGGTAGTGGTGGTTCCAGTCGCAGTGATAGTCTGGCTGGTGCTGGTAGTGGTAGTAGTAGTAGTCGCTCCAGACACGCTAGTCAAGGTGGCTGGCCACGAGGTGGAGGTCGCGGTGCTGTAGGTACCCGTGGCAGAAGTGGCGCTGCATGTTGCTGGCACGCTGCTTGCAGAGGTCTCGCCCCATGCAGCAGGAACGATGGAGTTTCGTCGGTTGTTTGCAGATATCAGAGCAGCATACGACCAGGTCAAATCACGAGCGGAGAGGGGTGAGCCATCAGACTTGGAGAATTGCTCGTTCATGGACCCGTTGGTCATGGCGTACTCCTCCTATGGCAGGTATCAGCAAGTCAAATGGAGATAGAGATTTCATCGGTCAATTACTTACCACAATGCTCATATATCCATCAGCATAGGTCTTGACCGCGCCGACGATTGTAGAGTAAGTTGCGCTAGACGACGAGTAGGTTCCAGTAGCTGCGGAGCTGTACATGTCCTGGAAGAAGGCCAGAGACACGGAGGTGATGGTCAGGGAGCCAATTCGGTTCCACTGGTACAAAGCATCATACAGAAGCTCGGCAGCAGCCATTGTGCACAGATACCAGGGGTTGCCGTTGTAGTAAGAGTCCTCAGGGTAACGGCCGACTGCCACAGCCTTGCCCTCAGCGATACCGCTGTTGATTGTATAGACAGAGCGGAAAGAGTCAGTAACTACCTTGTGATTGGCCAATGCTCGGGCAGAACAAGGTTGGAAAGTAGAATCATCACAGCCAGCCTGGGGATCAAAGGTGTGAATGCTGCCCAAGAGAGTGTTGGCATCTTTTCCAGTACGGCTGCTGCCAAAGTTGGCAAGGGTGTAGGATCCGGTCCAGAAGGACTGCAGGAAGCAAAGAACCTGTGGGGCCTGCGAGTCACAGTATGAGCAAGAAGAGCCGACTTGGCTTGCAAAAGTGCTACCCTCAACCAAAGCACGGTGCTGCACAGCAGTAGTAAAGAAGGACTCTCCGCTGACTTCCTCCCAGAGGTCTATTGTAATTTGTCAGCCAGGGGGTTGCCTCAACATGATTTCCCGAAGTAGAACCAACCGTATCCCGAGCTATTCCAGTTTTGTGCGATATATGAGAGGTCATTGCGCACGATTGGCCAAACGATATTGGTCGCCTGGGTAGTGTATCCGTTGCTCTGTAAAAGCTTGTGTCAGCCTCGTGTGACATGTCAGGACATCTTATAACCTACAATCAACCACTGGCCAAAGGCAATCAAGGCAGTGGCTCGGAGGGCAGGTCCGTCACGCTGAGGGCGACCCCACGACCCGGTGTAGGCACTCTCATCAATGTTGAACTTGGGTTCACCCAGACCACCAGTAGAAAGAGAGCCCGACGGGTTGGAGACAGTCTGGAGATACGCCTGAGAGCTGATATACTCCTCGATCACCGTGAGCAGCGAGGTATCGCCGTTCTTGAACTGATCAATCAAGACCTTCATAGTCAAGGCTGAGTCACGAGTCCAAGTATAATAGTCTGCCATAGTTAGTCGTGTATATATGGCGTTCTGGAAAGGTGGGTTACTCACAATCCGGGCTGTCGGTGCTGGGACTGGCGACGATAATGCCTGCCTTCACATTGGCAGCGTAGGCACCACTAGATCCGATGTTGTTGAGGATACCCGTTCGTGCAACTGACGTCTCTGATGCCAGCCAAGTGTCCAAGCTGCCAGTTGCACGAGCTGCCAGCTGCGGTGCTGCGACGGCCGCGTGACCGAGGCTTAGCGCACATAGCGCAGTCCAGAATCGAGGAGCCATGAGAGAAGAGAGTTACTGTTGTTTGTATCTCTTTCCTGGGCACCGAGACAGCCTTTTATATTCCTTGGGATCACGACGAATGTCGCTTCGGTTGGACTCAGGAGCGGCGTTAGATGGGAGCCATAGACAGCAGGGGGTGGAGGAAAGCAACGACGCGGCGGTCGACTAGACTCAAAGATAGATAGCGCTACCTGCTACTCGTGGCTTGTTGACTGCATTCCATTTGCTTCTTGCGTCGTTCGTTAGCACAGCTCTGTTGTTGCTGTATGCGCCACACGCTGCGGCCGCATCTGCGGGGTGATGTGATGTGATATGCGGAGTTCTCCGCACAGGAAAAATACTCACATATTCATTTGTACCCTATTTTGTAATCGATCTATTGGTCATCGCAATACACAGATAAAGTGAGACTATCCTTACTTCCTTCAGTAACTGGGAGTTCTCTGTTGCAACGGTTTATCCTTGGATATCCATAACTCTGATGATCCCGTTCATGATCAACCGCTGCTGTTCCAGCCTTGCCATGTCTCATCAATCCCGTACCTGCTGAGGCAAATACCGGTGCCTGGATTTCCCACTATGGACACTAATGCTTAGCCCATCACCACTTATACTAGTCTTCTGCATCTCCGTTGAACCCCACAGAATCCCCGTCCCCTGTCCTACGCCTTCTACTTCCTTTGGACCGTCTGTTGATATTACCACCAATCAGTATCGCGGTTCTCCCCCGTCCCTGGCCCGGTTGGCTTCGCCTAGATACGAGGCGTTTTGTCAGAAAATATGATCGGCATGTGAAGCTTCTACGACTTCTATGGCTTGCGTCTTCTAGGTTCAAGAGCCGGCATCCTGGACGGCCAATTGTGGAGCCGTGAAGATTTACCGATCCACTATCCCCGCAATGGCCCCGGAGGATCTGCCGATTCCAGCCTGGTGCTGCTCACTAGCGTGGTCTTCGCGGCGACATCGGGCACTTGAGCCACTTATTCTCCTTTCGAATGAAATGGAGTTCCAGGATTGGGCCATCCTGAATGCGCATCGTCACCGTGCGGCAGATTAAAACCTGGGTCAAACTCGGCGAAGAATCGTCATCAGAATCAAATCCGTGAAACAAATCCCCGCTGGGTTGGGCATCCCGATGTGAATTCGATTCATTGGTTGTCTGGCCCGATTGGCGTGGTCTGAGTTTGCGGAGGGATCCAGGACGGAAATTGAAGTCTGTAATGGGGAATTAAGTAAGCTGTAGGGCGTACCATCCATGTGGGGAAATCATGTATAAACCCGGGGTGGGCTGTCTTTGCATTGATTAATTTCTTATTTGGAATTAACCACCGAGACTATTCTCCAGTCAATGAGAATTGATAACGGTCACTATGAAGGCACTTGCGTTGGCAGCACTATGCCTCGCGAAGGCTGTTGCCGGTCTGACGGCTGCAGAATGGCGCAATCAGTCGATCTACTTTCTTCTAACTGATCGTTTTGGCCGAACGGACAATTCCACTACAACAACATGCAATGTTAGCGATCGGGTAGGTCTTCACTAATGTTACTTCATAGTATTCAAAATCTTTCTAATTGACTGTATTAGATCTACTGCGGTGGCAGCTGGCAAGGAATCATCAATCATGTATGCCATTATTCCACTTGCCAATTTTTATGCACTTCTGACGGTCATTCAGTTAGATTATATTCAGGGCATGGGATTCACTGCCATTTGGATCACCCCCGTCACAGAACAGCTCTCTCAAGATACTGGAGATGGAGAGGCATATCATGGCTACTGGCAACAAGAGATGTCGGTAGCGCTTTTGTCCCTGAACTACCTACGATGATACTGACTAAACCTTCTAGATACAACGTCAACACAAACTATGGCACTGCTGCTGACCTTTTGGCACTCTCTAAAGCCCTGCACAGTCGTGGCATGTACCTCATGGTAGACGTGGTCGCAAACCATATGGTATGCACTCTTTACACCAATCTTGAGGCTTCCTTTCTAACTCGGGCCCCAGGGCTATGATGGAGCTGGTAATACTGTTGACTACAGTGTCTTTAACCCATTCGACTCTTCTTCTTACTTTCATTCGTATTGTGATATCAGCGATTACTCTAATCAGACAAACGTGGAGGACTGTTGGTTGGGAGACACTACAGTTTCTCTTCCAGATCTCGACACGACTCTTACTTCTGTTCAGACAATCTGGTATAACTGGGTCACTGAATTGGTGTCCAACTACTCCAGTACGTGTTCTGACGGTCGTAGTTTACCGAATTCGGGAATCCGCTAACATCCCCTGACACAGTTGATGGCTTGCGAATTGATACAGTCAAACACGTCCAGAAGTCGTTCTGGCCTGGCTACAACAGTGCTGCAGGTGTCTACTGTGTGGGAGAGGTGTTTGACGGGGACCCAGCATACACCTGCCCCTACCAGAGCTACCTCGATGGTGTTCTCAATTATCCAATGTTTGTTCTTCGCCGTACTGGGAGAATTTGCACTGACCAATACCAGTTATTACCAACTACTGTACGCATTCGAGTCCACAAGTGGCAGTATCAGCAATCTATATAACATGATCAACTCCGTTGCATCTGACTGTTCTGATCCAACCCTGCTCGGAAACTTCATCGAGAATCATGACAACCCACGCTTTGCTTCGTATGTTCCCCTAGGTACATGCTTCCTTTCGCCACTGACATGACTTCTCAGCTACACGAGCGACTATTCTCAAGCGAAGAATGTGATTTCTTTCATCTTCTTCTCTGATGGAATTCCGATCGTCTATGCTGGTCAGGAACAACACTATAACGGTGGCAGTGACCCTGCCAATCGCGAAGCAACTTGGCTATCCGGGTACGACAAAACAGCTCAGCTTTACACATACATCACCACCACAAACAAGATCCGTGCCCTAGCCATTTCAAAGGATAGCGCCTACATAACTTCAAAGGTATGGTCCGTCGAACAATTTATAATAAAGCTAAACTAACCTGCATATTCAGAATAATGCTTTCTACACTGACAGCAATACTATCGCCATGAAGAAAGGATCGAGTGGCTCGCAAGTCATCACGGTTCTTTCGAACCGTGGCTCATCCGGTAGCTCGTATACCTTGACTCTTAGCGGAAGCGGCTACTCGTCTGGCACAAAGCTCATGGAAATGTACACCTGCACTGCTGTAACTGTGGACTCCAGTGGTAACATCGCCGTGCCAATGGCTTCCGGACTCCCTCGAGTCTACATGCTGGCTGCCTCGGCTTGTTCTATTTGTAGTTCTGCCTGTTCAACAACTACAACAAGCTCGTTGACGGCGTCGACTTCGACGACAACGTCAACCACACTGAAGACTACCACCTCCACTACAGCCACGAGCTGTACACAGGCTACTGCTTTGCCCGTTTTGTTCAAAGAGATTGTCACCACGTCATACGGGCAGAACATCTATATCTCAGGTTCTATAAGTCAACTCGGAAGCTGGGACACGTCTAGCGCTGTTGCCCTCTCTGCTGATCAGTACACATCTTCCAACCATCTGTGGTATGTTGTCGTAACAATTCCAGTGGGAACCTCGTTCCAGTACAAGTTCATCAAGGAGACGAGCGGATCTAGCACTATTACGTGGGAAAGTGATCCCAATCGCTCTTATACGGTACCAACTGGCTGTGTAGGCTCAACGGCCACCGTCACAGCAACGTGGAGATAGTCCATGAGCAGCTGCAGGCCTACAACAGAATAGTTCTTTGGCTTCATGAATCAAAAACATCAGATCTCGTATCATTCCTTCATTTCCGTTAGACATTATAAAAGCATTATGGACAGTCCTTCACACTCCCAAATATCCACAAGCGGATGGCTTAGATATGGAATGAAGCGACGTTCGCCGAGATAAACTCAAAGGTATCTTGACGGAAGTTATCTGCCAGCAGAGCTCCGTGGTCATTGAAGAAATTCATAAGGGTTTGATTGTCACTCCACTGGGGCCAATCCATATAACTCGATGCCCTAGAGTTAGGGTCCAGATCATATACAAACGACAAGTAGTATGAATGGATCGATCGGGAGGCATAATTTGGCAAAATACCATAGAATACCTGCAGGATATCGGACCCATGGAATGTGCCTAGGATAGGCGTTCCATAGTCATAGGACGACAAATATGACCAGAAAGGCACATCGGGTTTTACATTCTTAGCGAGCGTGAGGAAAGCTCGTCGTGTAATTGTAAATGTGAGATCACCGAGTATCGCCGCAATGCGTTTGTACTGGGGATACCAATTATTGAAAATACTAGTCCGGAAGGGAGAGCCATCGGTTGTGACATCGGGGTAAGTCGCAACCAGCGCTTCTAACTGCTCGCGTGAGGCGTCAAAGAAGAAGATCTTCTGGAGATAATCGACAACTTGAGCTGTGGTACTGATATTTGCCTGGAACAAGGCAAAGATCGTCCCCTCATCTTCCTGATCACCAATGATGAAAGGAACCGAGGCATAATTTCCGCTTTTCGCCAAAACCTCAGGTGAGTCAGTGAGAACTGTGCCATCTGGACGGGGTAAGTACGACAGTGCGACAGAGTTGTACGATAGGATTCCCGGCACGGAGTTGGTGGCATCCAAGAATGTTGTATAGTCCAATCCACGCAAGCACTCCAAGGTATCCGAGGCACTGGCACAGCCAGCAGATGCCACAACCTTGTCATACACCGCTTGGCCTTTGACACCGTCAACAGGATCGGCGGGTACAATACTTCCCGAGTTCATGATACCAGCTCGGAAGAGAGGTGCACCATTGTAAGTGTGGTCACCATCATAGAGAGCCATCTGATCAAAGACAGATATCGACCCAGCAGATTCACCCCAGATAGTCACCTTTGTGGGGTCACCACCAAAGGCTTTGATATTATCTGCGATCCATTCCAAGGCGAGACGCTGGTCAAGTAGACCTAAGTTGGCTGAACCGTCTTTGAGGATCTCCGATCCTGGCATAAAGCCAAATCCACCTACGCGATAGTTGATAGCAACAAATACAATGGGCATACCCAGGTTCATCGATGCAGAAACCAAGGTTGTCCCATCATACATGGCTGTTGATCCGAGCTCGAAGCCGCCACCAAAAATCCAAACCAAAACGGGCAGGTTTGCACCAGCTGCGGTCCCAGTTGGACGTCGGATGCTGACAGTCAAGCAGTCTTCACCAGCATTTGAGACCATTTGAAACAGTGGAATATTAGCCAGCTCCCCAATGACAGAGATGGGAAAGTCGCTGGTATCAGTGGTGAAAAAGAACTGGGGACAGGACTTGGCGGACCCGGTAGCTTGAACAGTCTCTAACGATGTCTGTATTGCCTTGGGTGGTTTCAGACGAAGTGAGCCTGTTGGCGCCTGCGCAAATGGAATTCCGTTGAAGCTATCGACGTTTGACCCGGAGGAGCCAATGACTGTAGCTTGAGGTTGTGAAATGGTGACTGTGGGTGCGCCAGCTCGCTTCGAGTCAGCTGGAGCGGCAACGACCACAGGCACGGCGGCCAGGAGGGCAATGCAAAGCAAGTAAAGCATCTTGACTGTCATTTAACTTCAAAAGAGTATCAAATTTGTGCCTTTCTTGTGATTCTAGCCCGTAGCTGCCGCGATGTCATTCTTCGTCCTTCTCCGATAGAGCGGCCAAGGGACGGCTTTAAATCCATCTCCACGACTTCAGCTTCGCCCACGATGGAAGCATCGTCGAGCTCATCCATAAAGAATCAACATGTGGCTCCTCGGTTGACGGTTAAGATGGAGCGATCGACTCGATCTTTCATGCCTTTCGAAACCCCGCCGCGGGGCAGCGACGGTCAAGAAGTATTCCTGACTCAAAGAGGAATATCCGCCGGCTCGATGGTCATGCGATGCGCTCCAAGCGGAGCTCTTTAGGCTCTGGTTAAATGAGTTCACTTCTGCATCAAGTGTTCGGCCTTTCATAACTCCCCCTCCAAAAGCCAAATGCAGGATTCCTGGTTGGATAGAGGCCCAGGATACCCTAAACCCACATCCGGCGCATCTCGGGCTTGGCCGTGCGCAGGCTGCGAAACTGCGGTCGCACACCTTCAGAAAAGTTTGGCGGTTGTCTGCTGACCGTAATCAAGGAACCAAGGGAACGTATAGCGAGCGTATAGGGAATGTGAATTCCGGAAAGCACGATGACCAACAGACGTGGGCGAATCGCGTGGGGCGCGGGGAACATCCCAGCCTTTCTGGGACGCCCAGTGGAGCGGACCCATCGATCGCCCGGCTGGAGTCGGCACAAATCTGATGCTGCCATGCAAGAGCTGAAGGAAAAGAGAGGACAGAAAAACCTCTTCTGCAGAACATGTTGTGCAGCTGACGACGTTGCGCTGACGAAGAAGCAATCATTGGTTAACACCCCTGTGTTCCTGGAAGACCGAAAGACTCGGGGAAAGCGCACTCCAATAGTTGTCAGGAGAAAGAATTCGACAGAGTAGGGAACGGGACTCAATTTACAAAGATAGAAGATAGAATTAGGTTTCTGAACCTTGCAACATAATACTCAAGAAGAAGAATTTTTCGGTCTATATATTGCTATGGCGGCTTTGATTTTCATGGGCTAGCAGCTACAGTACCAGCTATACACAGTCAATCATCGATTACAACTACTACAAGGCTGCGTGAATAGTAGTTTGACCTACGTCACTAAAACGGCGGGTCTTACGCTAAGGATCCGACCACCGTTCACAAACTCAAAATCTTTCAGGCTTGTACAGTCGTAGCCTATTGCATGTAAGCGAGATATGCAGCCCTGGAGTCGTCTGAAGGACTCTCGTATATATAGTTGAAGGGATACAATGTAGTTGAACACTATCAGCTGGCTATATGCAACATCGGGCATTGCCTCTATTTGTTCTTTTCTCCGGTCTCGACACTACCGTTGTCCAAATTCAGACAGCTCCGCTATTTCCGCTTCTCTGCCTCCATGTGGAGGCCCGTAAACACGTTGTAAATAGCTCTATGATTTAGCTTTCGTGGATTTCCATTATTTCCATGTATGTCCATGATGGAAGCTCGATATTTCAACACTGAAACGTACGATCATAAATGGAGATGAGGTTTAATTCCCCGTAGCGAGAAAATGACTGCCTCGGGCCTTGGCAGATATATGCCTACCTAAGCTTGTACTCTCAATAATGCATGTAGCTCAAATAAGCGACCTAATTTCAGTGGCCTCCACGGGTTTGCGGGATTCTCACCCGATTTATTCTTAGCATATCTATGCATATCTTGTTCTCTGCTAGTTATTGTGACTCTGCGGATCTTTCATGCGACCTAGAGTATTTGTACGTAATGCTTCCCATGCCCTAGTCAACGGGAAAGTTACTCCGAGGCCTAAGATAATGACTGGCTGCGGGGCCTTCAATGGAATACCTATAGTCAGTATACCAATACATTATTTACACTGTGAATTGGCAGTAGTTTTTTTGTTGACTGTTTTGACGGTTCCATGGCTTTGCAACTTCTGTTGGTTTTGATTGTTTATAGGGGGACTTTGGCGCTGGTCGTATGTCGAATTTACATTTTCCGACGATGCTGATTGAGCGTTTTGAAGAAATAGCAACCATCAAATTCCGAAAGCGATGGCTCGAGCATATTAGAATATTGAATTTTTGAGGGTTTAAGGCTCTTCAATGTCCATAGATTCCATTCTCCTCTGCCTGAACTGTAGATTGCGCATAATCGAGTCTCTTCAAATAATGTTGTTATTGCTAGTTAATCATTAACGCCGATATAAATGCATCACTCATGTAGTATAATCCCATTACAACTAGAAAAAAAATCAACGCTCTGCATGCTGCCAACCCTCCCACCTCTCGAAATCTCCTGTGTCCAAATCGAATAGATCCAGCATGCGCCCCACGCTTTGGTCGGCCAACTCATCCACGGACGCGGCGCGGATGTAGTATGCTGGAACTGGTGGAAAGATTATTGCACCGGCGCGAGATACCTCCAGCATGTTGCGCAGATGAATCTCACTCAAGGGAGTCTCTCGGGCGACCAAGACGAGCCGTCGCCGCTCTTTGAGCATCACATCCGCCGTGCGGGAGATGAGATCGTCACAGAATCCATTGTGGATAGCAGCAAGTGTTTTCATGCTGCATGGGACAATGATCATGCCGTCTGCTTTGAAAGAGCCACTTGAAATGGGTGCTGCCATGTCGTTGATGGAATGAACATGGTCGGCTAGAGCCTTGACATTGGACGGATGGTAATCGGTTTCATATTTGATGGTCGCCTCGGCCCATTTGCTCATTACCAGATGTGTCTCAATGTTCAAGCGACGCAGCGCAATCAGACATTTGATACCCAAAATTGCGCCTGTCGCGCCAGTCATTGCCACAACGATCCGCTTACGCCGCTGGTTTGGTGGCTGGTGTGGGGGTGCGTGATTCTCGGAGTTGACTGCTGGCATTGTTGTGTCAGGCGGACTTCCTCTGGGAGTTGAGCGACCAGACTGGGGTGTGTTATTTCCGGAGAGTAGTGATAGCATTTGAAGCCTCGTGGTGATGTTGCTTTGATGTTTGTGATATCTTCTCTTTGCCAGAATTAACAAATGCTGAGGATGTTTTGACTGAGTTGCTGCGCCAGGAGGTCGGAAGAGCTGAGTCTTATATATCAAACAAGTGGCAAAGAAATAATACCAAGAAAAACATTCACTTATGAGAAAATTCTCATTCTATCCCGAACAACCGACAATCCGAGTGGCATCGGCCCGATTTTGGGAAGGAAAGGACCCTCCGAGAGCGCCGAAATCCGAGCCCCCGAAGCCGAACCCCCGAGTATCATAGAACAGCCAGCTGGCTAGTGAACCGCACAACAAATAAACTGGTGACGTCACAAATTCTAAACATGTACAGTATTCGATCCTTTGATCGATACAAGAACGGTGATCAGGTACCGCCCACCGATTTCTATCAAGGTTTTTCAAGAATTCGCTTCCTTGAACAAAGTTTCCCAAACAGATCAACTGTTCTGAGTTACAGCCACACTCGAGATTTCCTGGAATTGCAGGAACCTTCACGAGAACGAAACAGCACTTTGGATAGTACAACGAAGCCCAAGAACAGATACGCATTGTTATTTCAATCTCTCCATCGGGTGTGTACTTTTCTCTTAACATTTTCATATCTCGGTGAAGGAATTCGTATTTCTTGCTATCAACCAGTCGCGACCTGCTAACAATCGTCGTCATTCACACATAGAATCGCTCTCGTATTAAAGTGGCTCCCTTGGACGAGTGCGTCCAAATCAAGCCCTCAACTTGTCTCCTTCTGGTACGTAGGGTGTTTCAAAAGGACGCTCCGCCTGTGGCGTAATTCGTGCCAAGTGCCGACGCTCGCCAGTCGTCCAGTCAATGATCGCAGAATGAGCAGTCACTCGGTTCTTGGCATTCGTTAGTCTCGAAGAATTGATATAATGTTTTCAAAAAGGTCACTTACATCCCAAATAACCACCGTCTTCGGCGCCCATTTAATTCGGGCCTGGTAGTCAATACCGCGACCGATATGAGCCAGCAAAAATCCTAGAAGAGCATCACTTTCTTCTGTTTTAAGGCCGACAATGCTCCTGGTGACTTGAGTTTTTGTTAGTTTAAGTAATTCCCGCTGCCAATAGAGCACCACTTACAGCCTCCATTGACGAAAAGCGCCTTCTCGCCTGTGGCGGGATGGGTGCGAACAATCGGATGCTCGTTCTTCACTGGGTCTCTTCTATCAACCCCTCCACGCTTTAGACTGTGTTCAGCTTGCTCAAATCCAGAGTGCAGCGCTTTGAGGCCATGGAGACGCTCTTTAAGGGCAGGTGAAAGCCGATTGTAAGCCTCGACCTGGTTGACGAAAACAGTGTCTCCGCCCACCTCCGGGCCGTCAAGAAGATATAGAAACGTGGTACCTGGTGGCTGTTGCTCATAAGTAACATCAGAATGCCACGAGACACTGCTATTCTTTGCGGCAAGATAGTCATCATACTCCCAGGCGTTATTATTGCGATGAACGAGGTGAATCTCAGGATACCCTTCTGGCGCCCCACTCGTAGGGTGGACATGGTGTCGCCCAAAATAGCCTCCAAAATCGAGAGCCTCTTGGATAGGCAAGTCTGCAAAGTCTTGATCTCTGAACGCAACGACTTTACGTTGAGCAACTAGGAGAGCAAGCTGGTCTTTTCCTGCGGCAGTGAGCTTGCTCAGCTGAACACCAGTGACTTCCGATCCGATAGTTGGCGTGAGCTTTTGAATATGAGACCCTTCCGGAAGAAGATCTTTGAAGGAGGGGTCGGCATCTTTGCCATGATCGACGTGTGTAAATGGCTCAAGGGGAGGATATTTCTCGCCATAATCCCAGACGGGAAGGTAATGGGGATACTGCTTATATGTCTCCAATTAACTTTATTTCCGCTCAAAGAGTGTTAAGGGTATTTCGTACACTGGCAGTGGATTTTCCACCTTCCTCTTCAATAATTCGTCTCACTTTAGGCTTGCTTGTACTCGCCTGTGGGTTGACCTTTACAGGAACAACGACCTCCGCAGTAGGGTTTTCCGCGATAGAGGGTGCCATTAGTTGCAAATATTCGTCTGTGGGCAAATGCTGTGCTTGATGTGGAAGATGAACAGATATTCTTGCTGTATTGGCTGGAAGCAAATGCAACCAGTTATATATATACCCTCTTCTTCCCTCTTATCTCCGTTGACATTCACATCATCCCATCACGAAATCACGTATCGATTTACCACAAAGCAAGATCTTGCGCCATTAGTCGAGTAGGATCGGACCTTAAAGATACATTTTGGCTTCGAGAATTTGTAAGCAATATCCTCGGTCGCTCATAATCTGTCTACCGTTGAAATATTAGATGAGACCGTTAAATTGATGTTCAGTCGGAGTTGTAGAGCGAGGAGGCGATATAGAAACAAAATGAAATCGATTAGTTCAGAAAAGAGCTCTATAGATTCATGGAGAATCAATAAAAAGCGGGGTGATATATTCTTCTGCAAGATATGAGAAGCACAGAAGCGGAGCATTTTCTTGCGTGCGTTTTATGAATGTATCGTCATAATGTTGCCCATAGTATGGCGTGATTTTATACTCCAGAGGTTCCCCGCAATCCCAAGATGGGATGACGGAATTGCCTGAAGGAAGCGTCTGCCACTCTTTATTGCTCAAGTACCCAAAGAAATACATATTTTTTCCTTCCCAGTCCCTTGATCTAGAAATCTTCATTGGTAAGCGAATTGATCCAAAGTGGGCCCTATGCTGAAACCCTTGCATGAGCCACCTACAAAATTCAACTCCAATAGACTCCCTAAGTTTTGAGTGGTCATGCCTTATCTAATAGGAGCTCAAAGCAATGCGAGAGGAGATACGCCTTTCAGTAGGCCTAAGATATTTCTTACACCAGGTAACGTATTTTCACCGGTCCCATATCTCATGAGCACATGACAGCACACAGCACCGCGGGCAATGAGCCCGAACACGCAAACCTGCTGTGCTTCTACGACGGCTGCATAATTAGATAAGTCCAAATCATATGATCTTGAAAGAAGCCTACGCTCTGTATTCCAGTCGGGAGTCAACTCCTGATCCAACGACCTGTGATCAATGAGTTGCGCCAGGGAGAACCCATTTATGACTTACAGGGAGTGCAGGGCAGTCCAAGTACTTGACTTGGGCATCTCTGTTGCTGAAACTTGCTGACTGGCTTTTTGCTTCTGGCTCTTCGCCTTTGCTTTTCCATCTCAGATCCCAGATATCAGGTATTTGGATTGGTCCCCCGCAGCCCCACCCAATGCACCGCGAACCTCTTGCAGGGGAAAGGCATTGGAGCCGCCCATCTTTCGAAGCGGCTCTCTTTGATAGATGGGCTGGTGGCGGCCACCAGCGACGGGCTGTGTTGGTGACTAGTAGCCCTCGGGTGAAGCCAAGACGAGCTCACAAGTACATCAAATCCTGATTATGATTCGGGACCGTAAACCTTCCATTGAGCGCAGTCCTTCACTTTCTCGGGGAAACCCCTCTTGAGCATTCTTGCCTCGTGGTGCGTTCATCTTGTTTGATTCGGAACCCGGTGTTGAATCCCTCGTCTCGTGGGTGATGGAGATCGTCCGAAAAGAAATGCACAAGGTCGCACCGTTTGCTCACTTCCAAGGTAAGAGGCCTCCTGTTTCCTTTCACGCTTCTTATTGATTGACCTCTGGAAACTTGAAAGAATAGAGCCTTTCCCTCTTCTGCACTTCCTCCGTCCTCTGCGCTGACGCTTCTCGCGACCTCGATTGTCTTTCAGAGTCTACATGATTACACCAATGTTGGAAATCTTCACACTGAAAAGTTCGCCTTATGCCACTCGAATTTCGATCTCTTCAATGAAGACAGAATTTTGCTAACAGAGCATACGGACGGGCGTCAGAGCCGGGTTTTTCAGGTGCCTTCGCTTTTGTCCGGGCAATGATCTCGGCATTAGCGCCTTGTCGATTAAGACACGCGTTCTTTCCCTACCGCCGGATCACAAAGTCTCTGGCTTCACTGCCGCTCTTTCAGGAAGCTTTCTTGCTCTGATCCGAGATGCTGGCATCTTCTTCTCAAATCTTTTTGAATCAGTCACTCAGGCCGCCTGTCAGATTACATTTTATGTTCAATTCTGATGGTCACCGGACACTCTCTCGGTTTTCATCGAGCTGGCTCAATGAACAAGTTTGTCTATATTTTTTTCTCTCTTGAGGCTGTGCGGTCAGTACATATGTGATTCTAATAGACTTGAAATGTCGCACGGGGTGGATGTTCGGAGCGTTCCACTGTCAGACGTTGATCTCTCGAGCTCAAGATCTCTACCTATCAGAGCCATATACGCCGCGCAAAATGGGACCTTCAAAGACACATCATGCTAGTTCAATTAGGCTTCTCCGCACATAGCCAGCGTAGAATAGAGCTTGTTGCTCAACCTCTCTCAAGATTTTCTTGCTGTATAGGCAGACCTGATTTTGATATCCGTCATACCACTGAAATGAGATATGCATCTCGTACCCATGACATAGTACCTAATATCTTGGACCTCGGGATTTCGCCTTGCTATAGACCCCTGGTGTCTGTTTTAGGGGTGATTTTGTCCAAGACATCAAATCCTTCAGGCAGATCTTATATTCTACTGTGCTTGCACGATGGTCTTCTTGGTCCAAGTTTCGTTCTACTTTTTTCCTCTCTCGTAGTTTAGGGTAAGAAAGGATACCAATTATCTGTTCATATAACAATGCGCATCACTTTACTTGTTCAGCCCTCTATTGATTTATCTAGCTCTGAGAACTCCATCGTGTGAGGAATACCCAGGGATAGAGCGTAGCGATATAGAGAGTAATCAGAGAAATCCGGGAGTCCCAATAAGAATGACCGTACGGTAAGTCCTTTTGACCATTCAAAGCAACGAATCACTGTGAAGGATCAATATTATCAACAACATGTGGCGTTCAAGAACGCTTGTCCCGAAGCCCGATTATGATCCACCTTTGATTTCTGAAATGGGTAGTACTCAAAAGAAGACACGGAGAAGAAGGCTAGGAATGCAGGTTTATTCCGGTCGATTTGAGTTTGCATGAGAACACCTTTTGACTAGCAAATAAAGCAGGTCCAGATATATCGAACGTTGTGGTCGCCCGAGGGGAAACACTTATTTTGTTGAATAGCAAATAAAGCAAATAAAGCGGGCGCAGTAATAGCGGTTTCCCGAGGGAGTCGTATATTGATCCTGGACTCTGAAGTACAATTAGCCTAGTTAATCTCATGAAAACGTCGTAGAGGTTGAAACTCGCAATCTCGGAAGTTAGCTTCGCCTTTTGCCAATGTCCTCCTTTGAAACCGTGCCTTTCTGAGCCTCCCATCCGCCACTACAAGCTCGAGAATGTCCTGTATTTTAAATGTTCGTTTTCCGCAATAATCTTGTGGCTTTTTTTTAATTTCACGGAAATTATGAAGCTTCTCATTAAGTGTGATCACGAAGACCTGCCTGAGGAGCAACAGAAAGTCGGTGTACCCTTAATCCTTTTGACACCCGTTCGCGCGACCACTCCTTAGCGACAGAAAATACCTGTGCCACGAGCGCACAAAGATTTATTGCAGTAAATATCAAGAGCAGATATGGAGACATGATTGAGAGAGTATGTGGTATGAGCTCCCGTTTTTGTTCTGATTTTCTGTGATCGAATGTGCCCAGATAGTGAATTGTGAGAACTTGAGGAGGGAAAAGTACATGAAGGCTAGAGCAAATGAAGTGGTCATGGAGTCGCGGCTCCGAAGCTTTTCAGGATCGGAGGGCCTAGTAGCTTTCTTTTCTTGAGGTATAGTACACTGTTTGTTCCAAGGTTCATGGCTGGAACGACAAGGTTAGTAGGCTCCTCAGACGACCTACTAAACCTCTTTCGGACTTCGACCAACGACTGATGCCCTTTACCACGGTATGCACCATTCCATAAACAGAAGCTCCGAGCAGTACTCCCCTGTCTTTCAGCCTGAATTCTCTGTAACTGACAGCCGACCACAGGCAGAGTTAATTTGTTGACCAATACCTTTGGGAACACGTAACGGTATCACGTGATGAGGTCAGGGATAGCTTAGGTATACGATCCTGATCAAGAGCTAGATATTTCAAATCCCGATATTGGGGTTCTTGAGACGTATAGATTCCTTGGTGATTTTGCTAGAACTTTGGATGTTGTGCGAGCAGCTCAATTGTCATGCGGAGAAGCCTCTCCCGAAAGATCGACATACAACAGTAAAGCTTTGCATGTTATCATTTAGCGAGTTATCACCCTACTGGTACTGGCTACTCGTTTAATTAGCCAATTAGCCAATTCAATTTAGAGGATGAAACCTGACTTAATTAATCTTCCTGCGAGCTTTTGGATGATGTTTTGCTTTCCCATTTGAGCACGTCGAGTTGTTCCGCTGAGATTATGGACTCATTTGTAAATCAGATAGACATGATAGCTCTGTAACTGACCTTCAAAAAAACAGTCTCTCGGCCTTGTAATTTTTAGAGCCAGGCAGTCCCACGCCATTGATGAATAGATCGCCAGCGAGCAAAGGGAGACAGGAAAATCAATCGTGTGCCTGTGAAACGAGGCACCAACAAAGCCAGGCACCCATGAGTTCATCACATGCAACCCATCACAGGTAATCGGATCGGTGATTAAATTTTAAAGTTTTAATGCAACCTTCGGCTTGGCCCACCTTTAGATTCATAAAAATGTGCTTGGGTAGATTGTTGCTCCGAACGAAGGCTATTTATAATTAGCTCTACTGCCATCTGTTTGGGGTAGCCGTCAATCATTCAGGGGAGTTTGAGAGAGAAAAAGTTCACAGGTGTCCCTCGGCCCCAGCTTAAAGATGGCAGGATTCGTTGCAGCCTTCGCCAATCCGTGCAACTATATCGGTGGTGTGAATTTCAGTCCTAAGAAAGATATTCCGGATCTGTCTAACAAAGTCGCACTGGTAACAGGCGGTACGTTAATTAACCACGCTGTTCTAAGGAGCCACGATGACTGACATATTCCCAGGAAATGCCGGCCTTGGTAAGGAAACTATCCTCCAGCTAGCAAAACACAATCCAAGCAAGATCTTCCTTGGCGCTCGCTCGGAATCCAAAGCTGTGGAGGCGATCAAGTCAATCAAGTCATCTGTCTCGAACAATGTTGAGATCGTCTGGCTGCCTCTGGACTTGACGTCCACCAAGTCCATTCGCAATGCTGGCGAAAAGTTCAACTCCCAGTCCCAACGACTTGACATTCTCATCTTGAATGCAGGTGTCATGTCTCTTCCCCCGGGTGAAACAGAAATGGGGCACGAGATTCAACTTGGAACCAATCATACTGGTCACTTCCTCCTCACGAGGATCCTACTGCCAACACTGCTTAAAACGGCTGAAGAACCTGGCTCCGACGTTCGTGTTGTGTCACTCTCTTCGGTCGGCCACAACCTTGCCCCATCTTTCGATACAATTCTGGACCAGACAAAACTCAAGCAGGTCAACACCAATGCCTGTTACGGCGCATCAAAAGCCGCGAATATTCTTTTTGCTGCGGAGCTCAGACGCCGCTACCCGTCCATAACCTCGGTATCTGTTCACCCTGGTATCATCTTGACAGATCTATACGACCCCATTAATCAGAGTTCGCCTCTCATCGCATTGGGGTCAAAATCATTGCGCCTCTTTGGTTCTTCGATTTCGCAGGGCGCATGCAATCAGCTGTGGGCAGCTGCTGGTGCGAAGAAAGAAGACCTTGTCAACGGAGGATATTATGTCCCTGTTGGGAATTTGAAACACCATAACAGGTATTCACAGAGCGAAGAGATGGGCCGGCGTCTGTGGGAGTGGTCTGAAGCTGAGGCACAGAAATGGGGATTCTGAAGGAGTCATTGATGTTGGTGAATATTTTTCCGGCGCATCCACTGCTAACCTTGATCTGTTGATATCATTGTAAGGAAATATAAAAAGTCATATCCAATGGATTATATGTAAACCCCTATGATAAGGTCAGCTAAATTAAAGACAAAATTACCTGCATTAGTCTGGTTTATAGCAGTGAGGCAAGGCTCATCATGCTAGTTTTAGAATTATTTGTATCTAATCACCTCTAGTTATGAGATAAAAATTTCCATCATTCGTGGCAAGACTATTTTCATAATTTGATCTAATCATACAACTCTTAAGGCTTGGGTCAGTGGATTACTGGCTGGGGCATAAATTAACTTCTCCTGACTTCTTGGCTCTAGCAAAGCACTATTCAAGCTTCTTTCAGCACGCCATCTATTCCAATTATGAGTATGTATTGCTCACGCCGGAACTCTTCCGAAGATCCGCCGTTGGTGCGGGGCGAGATGAATTTGGAGCAAGTTGGAGAAACGTCACAATCCAAATGTTCCAGAATTTTAGCCCATTCATTCACTTAAAATATCCAGTTTCTCAATCTAGTTGATTCCCAGCTAGTGTGCTTTTTGGTGCTTGCCAGTCCATATCCTAGGTATTGCTGGGATTCGTGACAGCAGAGTAATCCCAGATTAGGTCATTAGGATACGCCACATTCGCGTTCCGCCTTAACTCAAACTACGCTAAGGAGGTTTTTAGTGCTTGATCTAAAGATTTAGCTTTTTTCCCTCATTAGCACTACTGTATCTCTTATCGCGAAACTCAAGGAATACAGATAACATGATGCAGCAGGTGGAACTCAGACATACCAGCGGGGACTTGACATAGAATGTTCTTGCATGACACATCCCCTGCGATAGTACCACGATGGCCAGCACCTCAGTTGTCTTAGGAAATCGCCGAGTCGTCACAAGGAAAATATAGCTCGGGCAGAAATACAAATCGATGGTAGGCTCACTAGGTCCAGATCAAGTTCAATACCATGTGGTAATATCTCCGAATAAAAAGTGTTGTTGCCATCTTGAGTGGATCTATCGTGATAGTTGCATACGCAGTCCCTTCGCAATATTTTAAACTCGGCTGTTGGTCACAACGTGGTCGTGAAAACATCCGGTCTATTTCCCCAGATCAGTACGATAGCAGCCTGTTTGATGCCACTCTCTGGGCTCTTAAACATGGAGACGTCCGATATTGCTTCAAAGCGCACTCACGTATCGGAATCACAGACGCCAGACTTGGAAGCTGAAGTCCGTGACCATGATCCAAAAACCTGGTCGAATCAAACGGAACGGACAGAGCTCACTCCTGTCGAAGCATTCAAGTGGAATGTCGATGGCGACCAGTCTCCCTGTAGGGATATCGATGCATGAACTATCAAGGCCTGAATTGCTGACGAGCCATAGTCCCCGAGGTTGCAGCTTGTGTATCTAACAAGGACGATCCCACCATAGCTTGTAATAGTAAGTTGAATACTCAGCTACTGATCTGACTACTTAGCTCACAGACTACCACAGCCGTTCGAGCATGGATCCTAATGACGGTCTTTGTCATACTATTCTCCGGGGTCAACCAATTTTTTGGCCTTCGATATGTTCGTCCCAAGGGTCCTCCGTGATGTAAATTTCTCTGACTTCAAATAGCCATCCCTCACCATCTCTTATGTCGTGGCACAGATTCTTGTGTTTCCTATCGGTCGAGCATGGGAGAAACTTCCTAGGTGGAGGGTCCCTTTAGGAAAGCTTTCCTTTGACCTCAACCCAGGAAAGTTCACAATCAAAGAGCATGCATTCATTGTCATTGTAAGTGAATCTTGGTTTGCTAAACTCAATTATATCTAAGAACTGCAGTGTGTCAATATCAGTGCATCCACCGCCTACGCCCAAGGCGCCTTGGTTGCCATTGTGAGTCCGGTATACTGGAATCGCGAGATGGGGGCCGGCTTTTCCTTTTTGTATCTTTTAACAACCCAAATGATAGGGTAAGATGGCTATATTCCGTTTTGCCATAATATTACTGACTATCAAAAGGTTTGGCCTCGCGGGTCTTTCTCGTCGGTGGATCGTTTACCCAGCTGCTTTGACTTGGCCGACTTCCCTGTCCTCGACAGTTCTCTTTCGAGCACTGCACGAGCCGGAGAGCAAGACTCTGGCTAACGGTTGGTCGATAACCCGGTACCGCTTTTTTGCCTACGTGACAGTCCTCGCATTCGTTGCATTCTGGTTCCCAGACTATATCTGGACAAGTCTCAGCACATTTGCTTTCATCACATGGCTTGCCCCAAATAACCAGAAGGTCAACACTCTGTTCGGGGTAAGAATGTCTCCTATCCCAGGTTGAATCACGAGGCTGATTATTCAGATGAACTCCGGCTTGGGTCTTCTGCCCATCAGCCTCGACTGGACTCAGATAAACTACGCCGGTTATCCACTCACAACCCCATTCTATATTACATGCAATGCCTTTGCGGTTGTGGTGCTCTTCTACTTCTTCCTATCACCGATCCTATACTATACCAATGTCTGGTATAGCGCCTAGTAGGTTATTTTTCGATTCGAAGCTATGATCATCACTGACGAACTAGTCTCCCGCTTCTTTCCTCGAGCACATTCGACAACACGGGCAAATCATATAATATCTCACGGGTGGTGGACCAGAATTTGAACTTTGTCGAAAGCAAGTACAAGGAGTACTCTCCGATGTACATCTCCATGTCTTATTCCCTCACTTACGGATTGTCTTTCGCTGCTGTGACGGCAGTCGTGGTCCATACATACCTCTACAATGGCTCCGAAATCTGGGCCAGACTGAAAAATGCGCAACACGGAGGCGAGGATGTCCATCGACGACTCATGCGTGCATATAAAGAAGTTCCAGAATGGTGGTATGGTGTTCTCACAGTGGTCGTGCTGGGACTTGGAATCTTGACGACCAGATATTGGGATACCGAACTCCCTGTTTGGGGCTTCATCGTGGTCTGCTTCGGACTAGCCGTGCTCTTGATTGTACCTGAAGGTATTCTTCAAGGAACAACAAATCAGCGCGTGTTTCTTAACATTATCACGGAGATGATCGCCGGATATGCCTGGCCTGGAAAACCTATTGCCAACTTGATGGTGAAATGCTACGGCTACAATGCGGTCAAACATGGCATGGACTTTGCACAGGACCTGAAGCTCGGACAATACATGGTGAGTTTTATTTCGCCTTCTACCTATATATCTCTGCTAATTTTCAGAAAATTCCTCCGCGTGTTCTATTCTTCGGTCAGATCTATGCTAGCGTTTTAGCAACAGCCACTCAAACCGGAGGTATCATTTCTCATTGAAGTTCATGGTGGACATCAGACTAATAATCATAGTGCTGCAATGGATGATGGGTAACATCACCGACCTCTGCAAGTCAACAAACAAGCAACGATTTACTTGCAATGGTGCCAAGGTCATGTACAACGCGTCCATCATCTGGGGCACCATTGGTCCACAGCGAATGTTCCAGTCCGGGCAAACATACAACGGGCTTGTGTACTTCTTCTTGATCGGAGTAAATTGATTCGACTTGACGACAGTTGCTGTGTTGCTTTGCTTACTATTGGGTGTCTAGCCTGTTGTCACGGTACTCGTGTATCTTCTCTATCGCCGCTACCCCAATAGCTGGATTCGCTATATCAATGTCCCGATCTTCTTCAACGCTGCTGGTAACATTCCGCCTGCGAACACTAGTAAGATCCCAACAATGCATCTCTCGAGATCCAATAACTGACTTCATAGCCCAATATTCTCTATGGTTCATCATTGGCTTTGTGTTCAACTACCTGATCCGCAAGCGGGCATTTGACTGGTGGAAACGCTATAACTGTAGGATCCCTGCTGGAACGTTAGAGATGACCTACTAATCTTCGGTTTGACAGACTTGTTGCAAGCCGCGATGGATACTGGCACGGCTATCGCTACGATCATCATCTTTTTTGCCCTGGGATATCATTCTATCTCATTCAACTGGTGGGGAAACACGGTCGGATCGAATACCGCCGATGCGAAATCCGTCCCTTGGTTGACTATTCCCAAAGGTGGCCATTTTGGGAGAGGACCCGGGGAGTTCTAACCAACGGGCGCATATTCTTGATTTGGTTTGGGATCAGCCACGGTTTGGGGGATGACATGCGGAAAAATCGACCCTGGACAAGAGATTCCTCCTATTAAACTGCTGCAACGCAATGTTGATCTTCATACGAGCCTGTATTGAAGTCAAAGAGTGAGTATTTGCTGTCATGATGTCAGGTCATTAAAAGCAAGTTACAACAAGCTTTGTCCAGATCTTAAAAGGCGGGTTTATAGTTTCGTGAATATTCTACGGTTTATGAGTTTATTGACCTCGGTCGGCGCAGGCATGTAGATGCTAGCTCACTCATTTGCCGAAATGAATGCCGTTAAACCATATTGCTTTTTTTCCTGTTCAAGGTGGAGGGAGAACAAGGGTCAAGATTTTTATGTGCGATGAATTAGCCTAATCGATCCCCTGTTAACGGATGCACCCTGCTTCCTCCACTCCTTTGCCTATATTCAACAGCTACAATTTGTCGTGATGCTAAGTCTAGTGTCGCATCAGCTCTTATTATAATTTGTGTTTGTCTGCAGATAAACTTAGAGGACACTATTTTCCAACTCTCCGACCCTCCATTTCGGACTGCTGATCCCAACAACAACAACCAACAGGCTGTCCGGTGAATTGTTTGAACGGGTATTTAGCCTTGATAACCCGGTCACCAGATCGGTGACTGTTTAATTTCCCGGTGACTGTTCAATGCTTCCTTCTGGCCCTTGAGCCTTCCCCTCTACCAATCAGTGGCCCATTTTTCAAGGTTCAAGTCTCTTCAAAGCTCATGGTGAACTGGAGCTTATGTTGGAGGAGAGATCGGGGATAAGCAGTCACAACGCCACGTGGGGGGAAGAAGGCCTACTGCGATGCGGGGTCAATGGCTAAGTCGGATATTATCGGCGCTGACATGCCAAAATTGCGGTGCGGAAGAAACTAACTAGGATTCCTGTGCTGCTCGAGGCGGGAATTTATTGTCTAGTTCGACGACCTGGTTGTCTCAATCTAAGGAATCTATAATAAATTCCATCTATGATTGAAATGTAGCCTGTGAAACTTCAAGTCACCCAAGCCTTCACTAAGGCTAAACCGAACGACTTTAGAGAGTGTTCGTACTGTCGGACAAAAATACGATTTTCTTTTTCTTATTCACCAAGTTAGTTCGAATAGCTGTATATATGCCTTGGACTTCTTACATCACTAGACATGTAAATCATTCTCGTGTTCGCTTTAGGAAGGAGTCTAGGTATATCTTGCGCTTGATGACTCCACGGAGTTGTGTTTGTCAAGAATGTACGAATCAGTCACCCTGCATAGCTCGAATCTATTTGCTCTGCATGCACTATGCAATTAATCGGTCCCGTGAGGCAAGCCAAGACCGAGATCTTGCATTTAAGCAGTACTATTGGACATGGTCATTCACTGTAGGATCGCTAACGTGGGCTACATATGCCTTGTCTTGTGCTATAGTAGTGGTCTTCACGGGATAGTAATTTCAAATCAATACAATTTTAAGAAAGACTGAATAAGATCTGCCCGGGCCCGTTCTTGTACTCAAAGTAAGGGTTTGTTCATTTTGATCAGAAGACCCGGCAATTCTCGATATTGAGAGTTCGGACTGCTCATTATCGGGAGAGGTGTTACCGCATCATGTTCTCTCAGGGAATCTTTCTTTTGTTGATTATATATGGAAGCGACTTGGTAATAAGTCAATTACAATTACATTAAGGTGTAATTCTTTTTTCAAATCAGTATATTAAACCCCGCAGCCATATGACAAGGTACTGAACGCAATATGTCCTGTCTATCCTCCGACTTTATGCCCTCCTTCCGTGGAAGATATATATTGCTTCTTAGTTCCATGAAATATGTCCAGTAATTTGAACCGTCCATTACATACCGAGTACTGAGTGGGATTTCAATTAGACACGGACAATTACTCATACTCATTACTAGGAATTATCTAATTCGCCTGTACTTCCATGTGTATATCAAAGTACGCGGCCTATTGTTCGAAAACTCCTCCATTTGTCAGATAGTTGCCTCACTTCTACGACACTGAATGGCAGCAGGATGCCTTTCAACCTCCGAAATTGATGCATAGCCTGAAGCTACCAGGTATACGGAGTTCATCCCTTCTAGGAAAAAGATAGGGGTCGGCTCGGCCTTGACAATTGCAACCGAGTACCACCAAGTCTGCTGCAGCCTTGTCCTCATATCAAAGCCCGGCAGCTATGATGTGGATATGCCGTCAGGCCTATGTAGATCTTCGACGATCGTTGGCAGACCAGAATATCGCTCAAGCACCACACACTGTCCTCGCATTAGAGTATGCACTGCTCGTCTTTGACGCACTTCTGGCTACCGTGATCTCTGGAACAAGAGCCAGCGTAGGAAACCACAGTGGATCCAAAATCCCGCGATTTTGCGGTACAAACCTAAGGAGGGAACGAAATGCGGATTGGCAGATCCGTGGGGTTAAGGGCTTGTCCACCAATTTTGTATCTGCACCAGAAGTGAATTCTAGTGAATATGTTAGTTGGGATATGTTATTGCGGTCATTTGAGTGGGTTGATCGCGGGGAACATCGCAGAATTACAAATTGTCCTAACTCTATATCCTCCTTTCCGTTTGATGTTTCCTGTCCTGGAAGTTTTAGACTTTTGCATCTTTGGATTCGAGCTTTATTGGTGGAGCCGGCTTCACGGCTCCGATGTTTCCTCCCAGCCTCGCAGTACTAGCCATACGAGGACATGTCACCACGAAAATGTTATTGACTAATATCCGTGAAGAATGAACGACAAAATACTAGACTGGGTATAGCCTCAGGCTCGGCACCTGTTAGGTCTGCGGGATACGACATCATTGTGACAGCACAATGTGTCTCACAGTGGCATTCTGCACCAGGTCCTGTTCTCAGACCCCCTAACGTTTACGATCATCACGGCTAAAACATCCAGGGAGCAAATAGAAGCAACCCAACAAAAACAAAAGCATCATTATGCTATTTGATTTGCTGGGTGGGGTCCTTAGCCCGAGGCTAGTGTCCCGAGAGACTGGCGCGTGGTGTGATGGGTGAAGCATTAGTCCTCACCCTAGACATATTCGTCAATGCCTCGGTCGCCATTGATTGGCTCGCCGAACATGACAGAAACACTTCGCTGAAAGCATTGTCAAGAACAACGGCAAAGCAGATGTATTCACAGATAGACAAAATTCCCGAGTACATTGACGATGAAACTGGCCTCGCGGATGGGGCCTCGGTCGCTCATCACTTGATTATGGACCACGGAAGTCGAGCGAGACCCGATCTCCCCGAGACACCCATTTCTGACCAAATTGATGTTTTATTGGATTGTTTATTGAATTCAAAGGTTGGAGGATGATTTTAAATCGTATTGTTCTCCTCTGGTTGGTCTACAACGATTTCTAGTCAGCGAAAAGGGTAAAAAAAGCGAAGTAATGCAAGATTACTTCAACGTCTGCGACATGCTATGTAGGTCGGCTTTCGGGGCTAAGCAGATCATGCCCATACCACCGAAATACAGCGATGGAGGTGGTCTGTCGGCCCCCCAAGGGGCGCCTAAGGGGAGACACCCCGTGAAGAAGCGGGAACCGGCATAAATAATGGCTATGAGCTGCAGTATGACAAAACATCCTATCTCGCATGCCCGGCGGAGCAATTTACCTCGTAGAGTAGTCCCCATCTAGAACGGTCATCCGCGTCCTTCAACTTCTCACCAGATTCACGATAGGCCGCCAAGAGTCAGACTCATATCAACTACTTGGCAGGATTATTTCGTACTATGGCAGCTGATTTTTGCCAGTGCGCCACTGCCCGGTCCTTGTTGTGGCACAGTGCCCGAACATGACTCTGCAGAGTCAGCGCTAGTCAGTACTAAAACCCGATCAGAATCCGACATGGACTTCGTAACTATCACATTCATATCAAACTATGACATTCTCTAATAATGTCCTACTGTAGAGTATTTGCATGAAGCCTCAAGCGAATATTCTTATTAAGAAAATTCCCTAGACTAAGTTTCATATAAAAGCAACCCGCAACTGTACCCGTCAAGAACCTCGATTTATATAGATACCCACAAGGGATATTCGTATTGTGGCCAGGTCTCTTTTGAGCCTGCAAATGTCTTGTTCGCCTGCTTGAAGCTTTTTGCAGAGTATGGAGTCACATATAATGCGTGGCATGGCATGGCAGGATTCTGGAAGACTCTGCCCGGCAACCAAGCCAATAGGGCTTTATCGTATTATGTCTCACTTGACAAAATGCATCAATGCTTTTTTTTGCCTTTTTCAGCCCTTTTTCTCAGCCATCTTTCCCTCGCATAGTTATCCCGTATAGTTAACCAGCCTGGCTCACGACATCTCAGGTGGGGAGGGGAAAACCTCCGTAGCTATCTCTAAGCTATTAATAAAAAATTGTATCAGTTGCCCCTGTCGCGGCGCGGAGCAACGAACATCTCCGACTTTTAGTGGATCGGTCAATTTTGTGGCGTATTTACGCTGGTGGTGTCTTGAGCGGATCAGGATTCAGATGAAGCGGGAGGAGATGCGACCTCCACTTCAGGAAGAAGAAAAAAAAGGCGAAGATGACTCTGGGTTACGGAACCGACATAAAATCCGGACACGAACAGGGCATCCAGGTAAGCAGCAACGCCAACACCCCACCAATACCCGCAGAATGTAGCAAATAAGCAAGGTGTAAAACCAAAGGAAAGGAAATTCGATTTATTATGCCACCACCATAGCTAACTAGCAATAATAATTGACTCAGACTAAAGTTCATCAGGCGGCCGCAGGGCCTGTCCCATGAAGAAATGACGATCATCGCGGGCTCAATCGTCATCATTAGCCTGAAGATGATCCAAGCTCCTAGAACGGTGTAACCAGGCCTTCCGCTCCCGAAAACCACGTGTTTTTAGTGCGCTGACCTCTTGAACTACATATGTAGATACTTGACATATGTATTCAGTAAGACGGTGGCTTGG